TTAAACTTCAACATCACTTATTTTGTACTGATGAATGGCAAGGTCTATGACATCAGAGTGGGACAGATGCCAGCATGAGAATCTCCCCCAGATACCCAGAGTTCCATACCCCATGACATTTGGTTCTGGGTTACCAGGTACCAGTGGTCAGAAGAGAGCCATCCCAGATGCCTCTCCTGCTGATCTTCAGGATTCCTTGAGCCCCATTTTTCAATTAGCCCCAGGCCAGATGTCCACTGGGAACTTCGGTGCTGTTCTTCAGCCTGGCCATGGGTCATTGCAGCCACCAAGTCCAACACAGTACACAAGAGCTGTGGAAGAAAGTGAGGAGGCCCTCCACTACCAACATCCCTTCTCTTCCCTCCTCAGAATAACCAGGGGGAGTCAAAGGGTTGGGTACCATACAGTACAGTACTTGGTTTGTCTCAAGTATTTTTGAAGGGAATTTTAAAACTTAAATCATTCATTCAGTGCTCACAGGAAGTTCCTGAACCACTCTCCCGCTCCAACACTCAGAAACTGATGACATGAAAGCAGCAGCGTAGGCCTGGGCCTAGGATGAATAGCACATTCCTTTATGGTAAAGGAACGAGGCATTCCTCTGAGTCTGCATGCCTTTGCCTTACCATTAGCTTTTAAAGTAGATGACATATATTCCCCCTCCTTTTAAACCGAGTGTATCTCACTGATTAATTAACCCAGTTCAGGGACTTGCCCTCTTCACACCAACGAGAACAAGAAAGCATGCAGCCCTAATTTGGAGCTGTATAGAGTTCAGAGTAGATACTGATTTTTTTTTCTATGTACACAGGAGCAATTGCCACTGAGATCCAGTATTTTTGATTGAGGATATACATGCTAGAAAACTTGCACGTGTGTATAACAATACGTGCTGACAGCAGCACAGTTCACAATAGCCAAGACCTAGAAACCACTCCAATGCCAATCCTCAGCACAGCAGAAAGGTGAATACGCTAAAGCAATGTCAACAAATGGCCTAGACCTAACATACATGGATGCCCAGCACAATCATAACATTGAACAAAAGGTACATTAAAAAATAGCATGGATGCTATAGTTACATTTTTATAAAAAGAGGCAAATATATTGGTTTAGGCATGCTCATGAAAATCCCCCAATTCTTTAAAAAAAACTAAGGAAGTGAATGACATAAAAGTCAGGATGGGGGCTGGAGAGGTGGCTCAGTGGTTAAGAGCACTGACTGCTCTTCCAGAGGACCCAGGTTCAATTCCCAGCACCCACATGGCAGCTCACAACGGTCTGTAACTCCAGTTCCAGGAGACCCTCACACAGACACACACAGGCAAAACACTGATGTACATAAAAATAAATCAATTATTAAAAAAAAAAAAAGTCAGGCCAGGCAGTGGTGGTGCATGCCTTTAATCCCAGCACTCGGGAGGCAGAGCCAGGCGGATCTCTGTGAGTTCGAGGCCAGCCTGGTCTACAGAGTGAGTTCCAGGAAAGGTGCAAAGCTACATAGAGAAACCCTGTCTCAAAAAAACAAAACAAGCCGGGCGGTGGTGGCGCACGCCTTTAATCCCAGCACTCGGGAGGCAGAGGCAGGCGGATCTCTGTGAGTTCGAGGCCAGCCTGGTCTCCAAAGCGAGTACCAGGAAAGGCGCAAAGCTACACAGAGAAACCCTGTCTCGAAAAACCAAAAAAAAAAAAAAAAAAAAAAACAAAACAACAACAACAAAAAAGTCAGGATGACAGTGACCTCTAGGAACTTAGGAGGTATGAGATAGCCATCCACGTGCTCTATTTCTTGGCTGTTACATGGGTGTTGACTTTATAACCACTTAATTACACTTGATAGTATAATTTATACATATTTTAAAAGTTAGTACAATAAAATAATTAGTTGCTATTAAGATAAAAATCAGGCTGTCGAGATGGCTCAGGTGGTAAAGGCTGAGTTCAGTATCCAGACCCACATGGTGGAACGAGAGAACTGACAGCATGCTGTCCTCCGACTTCCACATGCATATTGTGGCACATGTGTGTGCACACACATACATAACACACTAAAAAGTGTAATTTAAAAATGAACAAAGCCAGGCACAGTAGTGCACGTCTTTAATCCCAGCACTCAAGAGACAGATGCTGGTAGATCTCTCTGAGTTCCAAGCCAATCAGGACTACCTAGTGAGTTCCTGTCTCAAACAAAACAAAACTATAATAATAATAATAATAATAATAATAATAATAATAATAATAATAGATAAAAACAAAAAAAGAACAAAATTACATTCAAGACAGTGAACATGAATAGCAATAAAGAGGGATATTAAGATAATTTATCAATTATATTTATATGTACTTAGAAAATGAGCTCAAGGCGGGTGGTGGTGGTGCATACCTTTAATCCTAGCACTCAGGAGGCAGAGCCAGGCGGATCTCTGTGAGTTCGAGGCAGCTTAGTCTACAGAGCGAGATCCAGGAAAGGCACCAAAGCTACACAGAGAAACCATGTGCTGGGGAAGCACGGCAGCCAGCAGCAGTCATGGTGGCAAGAGGCAGGATGTTGTGAGTTAACATCATAAAATGCAAGCACAAGCAGAGAGAATGAACAGGAAAGGAACAAGATTATAAATACTCAAAGCCTGCCAGTGGTGTACTTCCTCCAGTAAGGCTCCACCTCCCAGAGGTTCCTCAACCTCCGGAAACAGTGACACCAACTAGGGGTCAAGTGTTCAGATAGCTAGGCCTATGGTGGATGCTCTCATTCAGACCACCGCAGCACTGCAAACACAGATATGCACCAGGACTTACAAATTTTACACTGCACGCACAGTTCTTATGTTAATTATACATCAAAACTGTCTTCAAACAAGTATTTTTTGAATGTTTATATTTAGATAGTTCTGCATATAAACCAGAAACAACTGTAGTACTTTTATAGTTTTAAACAATTAAAATTGAATAAAGGTAGACATGATAACAAGGGTCTAAAACTATTTGCATTAGTATGACTGTCCTTCATGACCCTCAAGTCGCCTCCAAAACCCTCCTGTCCTCTGGAAAAGGATTTAAAAACTTGTTTTAAACTAAGAGTTAACTGTGAGATTAAAACTAGCCACCACAATTTAGATTAATAATCTTTTCAATTTTTTATGAGTACAGGTGCCCATGGAGGCCTGAGGCAGGAGGCACTGGACCCCCTTAGAGCTAGAGGTACAAACAGTTGTGAGTCACCCAACATGGGCGCTGGGCACCAAACTAAGATCCTCTGCAAGAATAAGCACTCTTAACTGCTGAGCCATCTCTCTAGCCCCCTGTTATAAACTTTTAATTATATCTCTTCTTTTAGTCCCAAATATTGTTAAGGCCAGGTGTGGTGGCACATGCTTAGAATATTAGCACTTGGGAGTGGTGGAAAGAGGTCCAGGAGTTCAAAGTTAGCTTTGGCTATAGCAGGTGCAAGCCAACCTGGAATACAGGACAACCATCTCAAACATGTGCATGCACACACATATACATTACACACATTGTCAAGACTTCCAGCCTTTGGGCTAGAAAGATAGTTCAGACCAGAGTTCAGTTCCTAGTACCCACATTGAACTGTTCACAACTGCGGGTAACTCCAGCTCCAGGGGATCCAGCACCCCTTTATGGATTCCAAGGGCACCTGCACTCAACACATACATGTGCATGTGCACACATGCACACACAAACACGCACACACACACTTTTTAAAAAATAATAAAAGTAAATCCTTTAAAATTTTTTAAAAAGACTTCCAAACCTCCTCACAGAAATTTCTTAAGAGTAATTTTATTAATTCAGAATGAATAACCAAATGCTTTTTCTAACAAACCCATCAAAACATTCTACAGATTATGGGTTAGTTACAGTGGTTTCTCAATCTGTGAGTCACGATCCCTTTGGGGGTTAAACAACCCTTTCATGGGGTTGCCTAAGACCATCAACAAACACAGATAATTGCATTATGATTCATAACAGTAGCAAAATTACAGTTGTGAAGTAGCAATGAAAATAATTTTATGGTTGGGGGTCACCACAACATGAGGAACTGTATTAGAGTCACAGCATTAGGAAGATTGAGAACCACTGGGTTAGTATTTAGAAATTTAACTACAGGTTAACAAAGCAAAGAATTCTAAAGTAAGAAAGAACCTAAGGGATTATTTTATGTCGTCAAAGGGATCTGGATACCTGTTTTTTGGCACTCTCCATACTACCATGCTGCTTCCTAGAAATAATAAGTCATATCAACCAGTAAGAATGGCATTTTTAAAGGAGGACACAGGGTAGCCTAGAGTAGCTTGTGTTCATGGATGTCATACAGAACACTGCTCTCTGGTGATATTTTATTTGTACTGAAATGTGATTTTAATTGTATGTTAATAAATAAAGTTTCCCGGGGGTCAGAGCTATTAGAGCCATAGCAAAAGCTGGGCATTGGTGGTGCACGCCTTTAATCCCAGCACTTGGTAGGCAGGGCTAGGTAGATCTCTGTGTGGTCAAGGATACAGCCAGCATTGGAGACACACGCCTTTAATCTCAATACCAATCATAGAAGACCTGGAGGTCTGTACAGACAGGCAGTGACGAGGCGGTCATGTGGTTGGGTTTACAACCAATGAGAAGGCAGGACAGAAAGTCTATATAAAGACAGACAGGAAGTAGGTCTCTTTCGGAGAGGTCTCTTGGCTGAAGAGGTTAGCTGCAGCAGGCAGGTAAGGTTCTTAGCTCTGATCTCTTGGCTTTCTTCTTTGCATTGGTTCTGTGTTTCTTATTTAAAAAGACGGTTGGTTACATCTACACTGCTCCCTACCCCACCATACTGAATATAGAGCATAGAGAATAAGCAGAAAGCAGTAAGAATAGGACTCTTACGTAAAATGCAGTAAGGAGGAATCCATGGCCCAACGAAGTCTCAGCCTTGGAAGATAATATGACTCATTATTTATGAGCAATACAAGTAAGTCACTAAGAACACTTACATTTGGAAATTCTTTACAAAAATTTTATTTGTGATTTTATTTATTCATAAAAGTACATTACATCAGTATTGCAAATAAAGACACATTTTCGCTAAAAGATATCTCTACCTAATCATCTATTTTACCTCATGATTAACTTCCTATCTTAATACAAAGACAACATCTTTTCTTTCTGCTTTGAAAGGTATCTTAATAGAATATGTCCATTAATATTTGCCTGGAAAGCAGTGGCTTCCTATTGGTTGGGCTTAGAAAGCAATTAAACCTTGAACTTAAATGCAACTTTCTATAATTTGCAATCTCTCCCTGAGTCTCTTTTGTTATATACAATCTCTCCTTAAAATAACCATTACATTTTAAAACATTCAAGCATTACTTAGGAAATGATTAAGGGATCTATAGTTAATCTACTATTTTAATAACTTAAGTTACTTTCTATTAAATAATCAAAAAATAAAAATTATAGGGATTGAGAATGACCCAATGGTAAGAGGACGAATTCTGAGAGCTGATACATTTTAGAATCTTGTTTCAGGATCAGTCCTTTCAAATACTTAAAATGTTAAGAATACAATTTACACAGTAAAAATGATTTGATCTGTTTTCAGTATGAAAGTACTTTTAATTTCTTTACTGCAGGTACAATGGCATCCAAGTCATCAATTTCTGTAATAGAAAAAGTAAGAGTTATAAAGAGTGATTTTTTTTCTCTATTGAAAGTTCATAAAAATAAGGAAGTCTATACAGGCAGAATTCGAACCCTAGGGCAGCAATAGCAGTAAGTGCTCTCGCGCACATGGAGTCTTCTCCAAGCACAGCAGATGACCAGTGCCTCCTTCACACCAGTGTTTCGTAGGGATCTGTCATGTCCCCTCGACTCTGGCACTCATTTTATCAGCAGCACAGTCTTGGTAATGCATCCAGTTGGCCGTGTTTATGATCCCTTGGTACCTCTTAAATCTGCACAGCTACATGGGTAAGCCAACATGGGTCCCAACATGCACCCTCCACCTGAGGATTTGGGAATTGATTTCTTCTTAAGGAACACAGTGCTCCTTCTTGATTTAGTTTCAGAGTGGAGTGTTCTCAGGCCTTCTTTTGGGAGATCTGTTCAGTGAGAGGTGTGTGGCACTCCAGAACAAAGCTCAGGGACATGGCTTATCCTGGTCTGCATTTTCAGACAAAGCAGTTCAGGTTCTTCAGTGGCTTCTTCCTGAGTTTGATTTTTCTTCTAAGGTATCAGATTTCAGTGAGCCTAAGCCAAAATTCACTTTCTAAAGCTCCTGCTCACTGAGGAAGCAAGTACTTTCCCTTATCCAGATACCATCCCTACTAACAGGTTCCAAGTGGCAGGGTCTGCATTTTCCTAGCTTATTTTGCTTGGCCATTGTTTATAAATAATGACAGAGCCAAGAGTCTCACAGAATAATGCCATTTCTCATGAGAAGGTCCCAAAACAAGATAGACTCATAGGGCTGGAGAGAGATGACTCAGCAGTTAAAAGCACTTGCTGCACTTATAAGAGGACCTGGGTTCAGTGCCCAGCACCAACAAGACATAACTGTCTGTAACTCTAGTTCCAGGAGATCCGGCCACCTCTTCTGGCCTCCACAGGCAGTTGTCCATACATACATGCAGGCAAATACTCATACACATAAATAAAATATTTAATAAGAAAAGAAAAAGATAGTTCCTATCTCTTTATAGGCTGTCTTTTTTTATTCTGTGAATTAATCCTAACCAACTTTTCTTGCAAAGCACTTAACACTTTCTAGACACTTCCACCAAACACCTAAGGTAAACATGAACCCAGTATCTAATGAACACCCTTCTGTCATACCCATTGACCTCTTAAGATGAAAAATTCAGCCCCCATCAACAGGTCTTACCTAAGATTTCAAGAAGATCATTAGTAAAAGCTTGAAACGCTGGAAAAAACTCCTCATGTTCTTCTAATTTGTTGATAATGCTGTTTAAAAAAAGACACAGTTTACAAAAGTTTCCAATTTAGATTTTTTTGCATTTGATTGTTAACAGGTAGCTGTAAACAGAACATTTTCAAAGTGAGAAGAAACTGTCCTGCTAAATTGAATATAAACTTAATGTTCAATTACAGTAATCCTTTCTTTTTAAGATCTTAATTCATCTAATACCACTTTCCTATTTTTTTTAAAAGCATCTTATTTAGAACATTTGCTAAAAATAGCCTTCTCTACCCAGTATGCTATCAAACATTAAGTACTAGTGGTCAGTAAAACAGTGAAAAGGAGGGGAAAGACCAATAGTGAAAAGCATTAAATACGAAAAGAATCAGGCTGGAGAGAGAGAGCTCAGAGGTTAAGAGCACTGGCTGTTCTCCAAGGGGTCCTGAGTTCAATTTCCAGCAACCACATGGTGGCTCACAACCATCTATAATGAAATCTGATGTCCTCTTCTGACATGCAGGTAGAACACTGTATAACTGTATACACAATAAATAAATCTTTAAAAAAATAAAAAAATATGAAAAGACTCAACTGTCAGATTATATAAGGGTTCTTCCAGGGAAAATTTCAGAATATATGGATGATAATGATGATGATGATGATGTGTGTGTTTCCCTATATTTTGCAGTATCAAATTAAAAAAAGTTGCTGAAAGCTACAATGTCTCAGGGGTTATTTTGGAGTAGGAGTTATTGGAGAGAGAGCCAGAGTTTCATGCATGGTAAACACAACCTCTACCACTGAGCTCTATATCTACCTTAGCCCCATAATATATACTTTTTAAAATATTACATTTTATATTAGCGTGCCCAGTTTTTTAAAAATCCTTAATATTTATATCTAAACAAAAAATTATGATTAGTAATTACTCAGTAATTTTGGTAGTGTCCCAGAAACAGATTATAAGTTATAATATATAACTCAAGAATTGATTATAAAGATTTTAATTTCTCTACACATAACGTCCCCTGGGAGTGAGTTTCTGGTAGAGTTCTCAATTGCCCTAGGTGAGTTTATAGAACCCAACAATTTTTATCTTGAGTACATGTGACATTTTCTTCATCTCCAAGGGTATATGACTCTTTATGGTTATAAAGTTATTTTTAAAAGGCGTAGTGGCACACACTTTTGATCCCAGCACTCTGCAGGCAGAGTCAGGCAGATCTCTTTGTGTTCAAGGCCACCCTGGTCTATACAGAGTTTCAGGACACCCAGACCCTGTCTCAAAAAAAAAAAAAAAAAAAAAAATTGTCACTCCTGAGAAGTAATTTGTAAAACTTTGAAAGTCTTTACTTTTCACCACTTCAAGCATATTGGATACATTTCTAAAAATACCTTTGTAGGTCATCAGGTCCTAATACTTGTTTAACCTGCTTATTCACATCCTCATTAATTATCTTACACAATTTTCCAACTGTGCTGACCACCACACACAATGAGGATGAACTGTCTGCAAAAGAGAAATGAAAACACAGGATATTAAAAAAAAAAGACTTTTCAAAATCATTACACTCATTTAACATTTCCTACTTCAGTTACTAATTCTATTTTTGGTGGGGGAAAGGAATTAAGATTTATTTTTATTAGTTTACACACATTTATATGGGTGTGTACACCTCTGAAAAGGCAGAGGCCAGAAGAAAGCAGTGGGTATTCGCCTCTATCACCCTTTGGCTATTTCTTTAAGACACACTATCTCCTTGAGCCTGGAGTTCACATTTTCTTAGCTAGGCTGGAAGCCAGTGGGCCTCAACAATTCTGTCTCCATTCTCCTCAGAGCTGGGGTAACAGGTGTTTGTGGAATGTCTGGCTTGGGATCATAAGTCTGGTACTCATGATTGCAAAGAATGTGTTCTTAACAACTGAGACATTTCCCAACCCTGGGGTTTGTTGTTTAAAGCTGGGGTCTTGAACTTTTAGAAAAAGATTTGCTAGGCAGTGATGGCATACACTTTTAATCCCAGCATTTGGGAGGTAAATGGCAGGTGGATCTCTGAGTTTGAGGCTAGCCTGGTCTACACAGAAGTTCCAGGACAGTCAGGGCGGTTACAAAGAAAAACCCTGTTTTGAAAAAAAAAAAAATTTGCACATGTGTATGTATGAGTATATGCATGTATGTATGTGTGTGCGAGTACTTTTGCACACATGGAAACCAGAAAAGGGTATTAGATTCTGTAACTCTGTGTGGAGTTACAGGGATTTGGGAGACGTCTGGCTTGTTATAGGGGTGCTGGGACATGAACTCCAGTCCTAAAAATTTCACAGCAAGTGCTCTTAACTACTGGGTCATCTCTCCAGACCCTGATCTTGAACTTCTAATCCTCCTGCCTCCATCTACTGAGTGCAAGGATTCTATATGTGCACCACCATGACCTGTTTATGCAGTATTGAGAATCAAACCCAGAGTTCATGCATGCTAGGCAAGCACTCTACCAACTTGGTTACATCCCTACCCCCTTTTTTTTTTTTGTGGGTTTGTTGTTGCTGTTTTGCTTTTTAATCAAATGGACTTTTGTGGGGTGTGGTGGTGCACACCAGCAACCTGAGCTCTTGGGAGGTGTAGGACAAAGATCAGGAGTTCGAGGTCAGCTTTGGCTACAGTAAAAGTAATGCAACACTGTCACAACAAGACAAACAAAACCCACACCTAATTTTTGTTAATTTATTAGGAATAGTTCTTAAATCAGTGCCCAAAATGGCAAGGGTCATCACCTAATTCTAAGAGCTCCTGGAGGTTTCTCACAGCGTTGTTCATTTCTCCAAGCCTGGTATACACTTCATTCATTCGGGGGTAGACTCCATTTAAAGACTGCACATCAAATAGCTTTTGGAAGTGAGAAACAATAGCTTGCAAAGTTTGAAAGTTTGGCATGTTGCTGCTCTATAAGGAGAAGGTAAAAAGATAGTTCACAACTTGAAATAATATTAAATATTTAACATAAGCCTTTAAGATGGGAACAGTTACATAAGTATCAGTGTTACCTCCTTCTCGTTTTCAACCTCTTCCAGCATGGTATCTACCATAAACAACAGATCTTCTACTTTGACACCTTCATTTTCATCTGGTTTCTTTAAATTATGCCAAGGTACCAGTTCTGCAGACAGCGTTTTTAAGGACTTATACAAACCCTTTACAACAAAAGAAAGCACGTGCATTATTGTTTATAAAATAATTTGTACTGTAACACTAATAACACAGTAATCAAGGTGCTCTAAAAATACATAGCTATATAACCATTATCAGTATATTTTAATACCATTGTCAATTTAAAACAAGTCTGAATGCTTTAAGCAATAATGTTATCTAAGCGTTACATTGTTTTTTAAAATTATTTTTATCAGTGCTGGAGATAGCCCAGGCCCTCCCTCATAAATACAAGGCAAATACTTTATCATTGAGCCATATCCTTAGCCTAGGTTTTAAATATTTTTGTAGCACATTTGAGATGAAATTTACATACCAAAATATTCACCTTTACTAGTATTTAGTTTGATGGTTTTCATCTTTTCACAGTGGTACAAACACCACCACTGTCTAATTTCAGAACCTATCCATCTTCCAAGAAGAACTCCCACACTCAGGGCTGAAGAGATGGCTCAGCAGTAAGGGCACTTGTTGGTCTTCAGAGGAGCCAGGTTCAGTTCCCAGTACCCACATGATGGTTCACAACCATTCATAACTCCAGTTCCAGAGGATCTGACACCCTCTTCTGACCCCCACAGGAACCAGACATGCATGTGGCGCACAAACACATATGCAGGGAAATGTTCATACACATTAAACATTTTAAAAATAAAAGAAAGAAACCCCACACCCACTCAAAGTCCTTTTCTAGTCTCCTCCAGCCTCTATAACTACTAATCCACTTCCTGCTGCTCTGGATTTGCCTACACTTGGCATTTCATGTAAATGAAATTTTACAAGTGGCCATGTGTGACTGACTTCTTTTGAGAATCCCCTGTATCTATTATTGATGGGAATGAAAGTCATACAGCCATTATGTAAAACAGTACATAGAGGTTCCTCAAAAAACTAAAGATAAAACTGCCACATAGCCTAACAATCCTACATCTGGGAATGTATCCAAATAAAATGAAACTATAATATGTCAAAAAAATGCCAGCTCTCACATGTTTACTGAAGCACTATTCAGAACTGCCAAGATATGGGATCAATGTAGGTGTCTAACGATAGATGAATGGCTAAAAAGAAATAGTGTATGTATGTGTGCATACAAACATGCACATGTATACAATGGATATCAACCATAAAAAGAATGACATCTGTCATTTAATGCAACATGGACAGAACTAAAAGACATTATGTTAAGTGAAATAAAATAGACATAAATACCACGTTCTTACTTATAGGTCAAAGTTTCAAAGGTTAGTCTCATAGTGGTTCCCAAAGCCTGAGAAGGGTTTGAGTAAAAAGGAATGGAGACAGGATGGGTAACAGTCACAGGGTGCAGTTGGATAAGAGAAATAATTTGTGATGTTCTATACCACAGCAGGGTAACTAAGCTCACAAAAATTAACTATTTTTAGACAGATGAAAATTTTTGATGTTTTTAACACTGACCCTACTCACTGTATGTGTTGAAATACATATACTATCCCTCACACAAGTGTATGGTTATATACTAATTGAAAATAAAACATATAATAAGAACAGGCTTAGTAGAACATGCCTTTAATCCCAGAATCGGGAGGCAGAAGCAGGTAGACTTCTGTGAATTTAAGGTCAGTCTGGTCTACATGTGAGTTCCAGGCCAGCCAGACTTGTATAGTGAGGCCTGTCTCAAAAAATAAATAGGCAAACATGTAGGATTCTATAATATGAATTGCTACATTTCTCTTTTCTATTCATCTCCCAAATGCATGGTTCTCTTTTAAGTCATGAATCAGACCTAAGGGAAAAAATATTAACTGGGGAGATGTCTATCCCAACTAGAAAGTTCTACATTATAAAGAACTCTCCATAGAGGCATCAAAGGACTGCACACACTTTCTAAGACGGCTCCTGAATCTGTATTGTAAATATTAGAAACACCACTAAAATCGATGAACTACTTTAATGGCAGAAGAAACTAATACTAGCCAATTGCCTCAAGTGTCCTTACAACATTCTAATTTCTTGCCTTCTCCTCCTATTCAGCAAACTACATAGTAGCAAGAACTCAGCACTCTTCTAAGTCTTTGTGGGGGCTGTAATCAGAGTGATCTCCTTTCTACCAGATATCTCCTGGAATACAAGTCATCCATATCATTGACTTGTACTTCACCACAGGTGTCCATCTTTATGACATACTTTTTTCTGACAATATACTGCATAGTTATTTAAAATGTCATATTTTTGTCTCTCAATTGGTCTGATTTTATGTTCACATTTTTGTAACACTTTCCCTATTATCTCACACATAGAAAAATAACCGTGTCTATTAACTTGGTTCTTCCTTTGTCACTTTCTCATCTAGTCTTTCCCTTCTGTTGGAAAGGCAAGGGCTGTTTCTATTCTAATTCCTCTGAGAAGGAGAAAAGTGGTTAGCACTGTTATCTTCTGCAGAGAGAACTCTCTGTCAAGCAGTGAGTGGGAAACGCCATGGTTTCCACAAGTCATCTCTATTTCACCCTTTTCTGAGAAACAAACTAGAGGAATTCAGGCATATAAAATAGTAATTAATCCAGCACTGTCATCCAATCAAAAATGCTTATATATTATGTAGCTTTGTCTGAGCCCTAAAGAAAAAGGGAAATAAAAGTTAGGCTGACTGCCAAGATTCTTTCATGAGTTGTATACAGATATGATTCTATAAATTTAAAAAGGTGTGGTGGCACACGCCTTGAACCCCAGCACTCAGGAGGTAGAGGCAGGCAGTTCTCCATGAGTTCAAGGCCAGCCTGGTCTACAAAATGAGTTCCAGGACAGCCATGGCAGTTACACGGAAAAACCCTGTCTCGAGAAACTAAAGAAAGAAATATACATAATAATAATAAAGTATTAAAAAAAAAGACTAACAACAAAACAAATAAACAAAAAACCCACCTCTAGGTGACTGGGACTATAATTATTCTGGATAATTTGAATAAATATTAATTGAGCACTAATGTATCATGAAGATCTTTGAGGCATATAGGAACAAATAAAACTTTTTGTTCCCAAGAAGGTCACTTGTTCTTAAGAAGGTTCTTTGGGTATTAGGACAAAATGCTGACAAATGCTGTCGCTAAATCATATCTTCATTAACTATAGCAGAATTTTGTATGATATTAGTACTAAAAAAAAATCTAAAGTTTAAAAGGCACAGAAATGCAATACTATTAGCTTTATAGCAAATCACTTCTCAATAAACCAATCAAGAAAAATGTAATAAACTCAAGTTACACAATAAAGAATATACAATGATCTATAGATCAAATGTGAATACATTTAATTTCCTGGTTGCTTGTTGACTATCACCTTCTCCAGCAATTAGACAAACACAGAAATAAACTCAGTTCTGAGAAAGAAAAATAAAATGTGAAGACAGGAAAAATATTCCCAGTTAAGATGAAAATAAGGATGAGACACTGCATCTGAACACGTGCCGCGGTCAGGAAGTGTGCAGCGCAGGTGTGAGCGCAGGTGTGAGCACAGGTGTGAGCACAGGTGTGAGCACAGGTGTCAGCAGGAGGGAGATGGAGGGATATGGACAAGCCGAGACGCACAAACAGGGATCCACCACAGATTCTCAACGAGGGAAGTCTAAAAGTTTTCTACGGTGGAACTTCAGAGGAAGCAAGCTTGACAATAACATCAAACTCACAGGATGAAAATATGTAAGGCCAGGCACAGTGGTGCACGCCTTTAATTACTGCACTCAGGAGGCAGAAGCAGGTGGATATCTGTGAGTTCAAAGCCAGCCTGTTCTATAGAGTTCCAGTCCAGCCAGGACTACATAGTGAGACTCTGTCTCAAAAACAAAACAGAACGAAATATGTAAGCAGCAATACTCCAATTTTAGAAAAGTATTGTTAGCTTTATAGTTAAAGAACAACAAAAGCCAGGTTCAACATTTTCAAAACATGTAAAGAATATTCAACCACTTACCTTTAAGGATGTCAGTTCATCTGCCCACATTTCTATTATAGGAACGAGATGTTCAAATCCACAATCTTGCACCATATCTTTATTGAAGTTTTGGGCTCCTCCCTTGCTCTGTTTATAAATAATTACTGGAGCTCGAGGATTGTGAATAATTGAATTGATGCTGCACAGCACCTGTAAACATGGACAGTATTTGTAGTTCAAATGTCTGAGTCTGACACAGTGAGGTAAGTGAAACAGGAATGCACATCATTTTCAGACATTCATAAATATTGTGGTAATGCAATCTCATTAGCATAGATGTACAAATTCTAAGGAAAACTAAATAAATGTTTAATAATTTAGGTTTGAAAGCAGCTACCATCTATTATAATCCACACACAATAATTATAATCCACACAGTCTAGACATCCTTATCTAAGTCTCAATGTTTCCCTATTTCTGTCTCCTCATATTTAAGCTAAGTATGGTATTAAGGGGAGCTTTCTATTTGTTTCACAATTTCAGTTGAAATTTAAAGTAAAGATAGTTACTAATTAAGCCCCACACATTCTACAGAGAAGTCCTGGCCAGCCAGTCCAATAGTTCTTAACAAATGCTATAAATCCCCGAGACAGGACTCTCTGAGAGTGTCTGCACAGAGTTTTTAGGGCTGGGAGGAAACACTGCTGTTCCTGTCTGCCCAGAACCAGCTATAGCAGACAGGTGCTCTGAGAATCTGACTTCTGATGTTTGTTAATAAGGAAGTTTTTGTTCCGTATTCGTTTTTAAGTGTTTCAACATTTCATGTCTATTATAAACTCATCTAGTAATATCAATTAATTGAAAAAATAATATTCTTCTCCAAGTTATGAATCAAAGCAAGGAGACAGTCTCTTTTCAGCAACACCAAATGTCAGAAAAGTAGTAGGTGAACTGAAAGACGCAGGGATTGATGCTACCTGAGCTTCAGAAGATCACAGGGCAATTTCATGACATTCACATCACGTTTAGATACCTGTATGCACACGGTGAGGTTATTTATAAAAAGACTGCAGCTATTTCTTGTCCTTGCTTTGTTGGATCTTTGCCCCATGACTTGCAGTTTCTCCCATTAAAATGTAGAGATTTTTTTACCCTCTGAATTTGGGCTGGTCTTAAGTCTTGCTTTGATCCACAGAATTTACTGAAAAGAATGCCATGTCAGTTTGGGTCTTTAAAAAAGTTTGTTTAGTTTTTTTGTTTTTTTTTTCAAGACAGGATTTTGAGACATTATTAACAGCTCTGGCTAGCCTGGAACACACAGAGTTCCACCTGCCTCTGTCTCTGAGTGCTGAGATTAAAGGTGTGCACCACCACAACTGGCCAAAGCAGCGGAAAGTTCTTAAGTAGTCTAGATCACTGTTTACACTCTGCTGCGGCCACGTGGCCAAGTCCAGGCAGAACTACGCAGGCCTATCCATCCCCATCACTGAGACAAAAATTAACTCAACTGCCACAAGAAGAGCTCTAATGATTCACCATCAACTTATGACCAATATTAACAGAACTATCTACTGTCCAAGCATGACACTATTAAAGGGTACTGTAAGTCACTACATTTTAGAAGATGTCTGTCACACAGCAAAGATAAACTGGGCCATATGTGACCACCACAATGGAGAAGAAGAAAGGAACAGCGAGAGAAACCTGCCCCTTTTTCTTGTGATAGGGTAAGAATAGACTCAGGCCAACTAAAAACACTGCAAGAGAGATAAGCTTTACTTTCATGAAAATGAAAAAGAAACTGTCTATGGCTGGAGGACCACAGCAATACAGTACCTAAGGGAGAAGAGGAATTCATAAGAAGTCAGTGGTAAAATGCACTGCCCACAAAATAAATGCTGTGTTATTAAAGGTCCCTATTTAGGAGAAAGGAGAAAACTAAACAGGTACATGTACACACATACACCTTCCATGAAAGAAAAGCAGAGGCTGTATTTGGACGTCAGCCCCACCAAGGGTACCGGCGCTATAATACAGCAGCACCAGAAAGAAAGGCACCCTCAAACTCTCTTCTCACCCACCATCTACCCTTGACTGCCACTCCTTGAAATGCCAAACTAGTAGGGACCAGAAAAAACAATGGAGTGATGAGAACAAGCAGATCACACCCCTTGGCCACACCATAGAACAGGTTAGGTATGAATAAGCTAGAATACTTTTTTACTGAGGTTTGAATGGATTGTTTTAAACTGCCCAACTTTTCATTATAAAACATTTAAAATAAGCCAGGCATGGTGGCACATGCCTTTAATCATAGCACTCCAGAGACAGAGGTAAGAGAATCTTTGGGAGTTCAAGTATAGCTTGGCTAGCAAGTTCCAAACCAGCCAGGAGTACATAGTAAAACCTTGTCTCAAAACAAAATTAAACAAACAACAACCAACATCTTAAACAAACAAAAACTTTAGTGTGTATGTGAAACAGTGTTCTAGGCTTCGCCAGAGAAACACCACCAACAGAAAGTGTATTCGTGTGTATATATAAGGGGACCTTGTGTAATTTCTTGAAGGATCAAATGCAATACACACATATGAGAGAGATGGGCATATTTTTAAAAAAGATTTCATATAAGGAATTGGCTCATGAAATTAATGGAACCCCATGACTATCAGTCAGCAATTTGAGAGGAGACCCAGAACTGCAGTCCCAAAGCTCTAGAAGTCTGAAATTTTGGTTCAAATCTAAAGGTAGGAGAACTAACCAAAACCAAACAAAGTATGTTAAAAGAATGCATTAGAAATGCCCCCTGGGCCTTTTTGTTCTGTAAGGGGTTAGATGAAATCCACCTAACATAGGAGAACAATCTATTTTCTACCAGTTCACTCACTGGCACGCTGTTTAACCAAGTATCTGGGCAATGTATAGCCCAATCAAGCCGACATATAAAATCCAGTAGCTGCTAACATTTTCCTAGCTTGGCTCACTCTTTACAGCTGAACCAATGGCAGGAAATGCGGCTATCATCATTCTCTGCCCTGAAATAGTAAAGCATCCATCCCTTAAAAGCTGGTATAGTCTATACAATCTAGTGCCACTATCACACTCAAGAAAACTGGTAATATCACTGATAGCTGAACTGAATTTTTAATCTTATTATATATACTATTTGACTCTCTCTCTAGATGTGATGAGTACTACATTAAGTATCACTCAAAGACAGATAAGATAGATCATTCTTTCAGCCTTGTTTGCTTTCTCCCTTATTTTACCTCTTCAAATAACTTCAGAACCTTTTAGAAAGTGTTTTAATGAGGCTCCAGGTTCTGCCAGATGTCCTGTGTTTAGGTAATACCTGCCCTCCTGTCTCTACCCTTTCATAAACAAAATGTGCCCTGTATGATGTTTAAAAAACAAAACACATAATAAAAGTCATTTCCCATTTATCAACATCGAGACTAGCCTATTTAAGAAACAGTCATCAAGTATGAAGATGAGGGCCAGTGACTTGACTTGCTTACCACCAAGCTGAGTTCCATCCCCAGGACCCACATGGTCCACCCACAAGTTGTTCTCTAACCTCCACCTGTACACCTGGCACCTATAAATGCCTACACACACACACACACACACACACACACACACACACACACACACACACACACACACACACAGTATGAAGATGAGATGAACATTTTGATCTTGAATTTCTGTCCTGTGCATACTTCAAGCTGCAACTAATGTGTCTCCTGGTAATATGGTTTCAGAGGTTATTTAGAAGGCTTTTAGTTTTGAAACTAAAAGTTTTAGTCATGAAAACATATTTCAGTATTTCATTTCAATTATATATAAATTCATGATTTTAATGGAAGAATTAATTCCCCTAACAGAATGTTTATTGATGGCAATTTATATTCTCCTGTATAAATTAACTACCTCTTTGATGATTGGCAGCAAAAGATATAGTAACAATGGGGTGCTATGGATGATTGTTTGATAAATAAAACACTGATTGGCCAGTAGCCAGGCAGGAAGTATAGGCGGGACTAACAGAGAGGAGAAAGGAAAGGACAGGAAGGCAGGGAGGGGAGACACCAGCTGCCGTCCAGGGAGCATTATGTAGAGGCAACAGGTAAAGCCACAGAACACGCGGCGACATATAGATTAACAAGAACGGGCTTAGTATAAGAATAAGAGCTAGACAATGGTAGGCCTGAGCTAATGGCTGAGCAGTTTAAATAATATAAGGGTTGGTGTGTTTATTTTATAAGTGGGCTCCGGGACTGGCGGGGCTTGGCGGGAGCTGGAGAGAAACTCTCCAGCTACAATGGGGAAACCATAAAGTAACTTAAAACAATTCCCACAGAGATAACTTTTTAAAAGAGAAGTAGTAATTTCATGTCATTCAGAGTTCACAGATTCTGATAACTCTCTGTGTTGTTGTTGTTTAAAGCATTCTAAAGGTAATCAGAGAACAGGAAAAGTTAAGATGAAATAAGTTAATTAATTAAGCTAGGACTTTTTTTAAAGGACAAAAAAAGGGAAGGGTGGCACAGGCCTTTAATCCCAGCACTAAGGAGGCAGAGGTAGGTGGATCTAAGTTCAAGGTCAGCCTTGTCTACATAGTGAGATCTTGTCTCAAAAAACACAAACAAAACAAAATAAAAATTAAAAAGGACAAAGAAGCCAGGTGGTGGTGGTGCACACCTTTAATCCCAGCACTTGGGAGGCAGAGGCAGATGGATCTCTGTGAGTTCACGGCCAGCCTGAGCTACAGAGTGAGTTCCAAGAAAGGTGCAAAGCTACACAGAGAAACCCTGACATCATGAGGTTTGCAGGCAAATGGATGGAGCTAGAAAAATATCATCCTGAGTGAGGTAACCCAGACTCAGAAAGACAAACATGGTATGTACTCACTCATAAGTGGATACTAGATGTAAAGCAAAGGATAACCAGACTGCAACCCACAGCTCCAGGGAGGCTACCTAGTAAAGAGGACCCTAAGAAAGATGCAGGGATTGTCCAACGACAGAGAAATGGATGAGATCTACATGAGCAAACTGGACATGAAGGGGGTAATGGAGGGCAAGGGTCAGGGGAAAGAGAGCTTAGGAGAGCGGGAGGTCCCAGCTGGATCAGGAGCAGAGTGGGAGAAAGGGGAGGGAAATACCATGATGAATGAAGACCCCAGGGGAATAGGAAGCAGAGTGCTAGAGAGGTCCCCAGAAATCCACAAAGATACCTCCACTGTAGACTACTAGCAATGGTCAAGAGAGTGCCTGAGCTGACCAGGATGCCCAAACACCCTGGCTGTCATGATAGAACTCTCATCCAGTGTCTGATGGAAGTGGATGCAGAGATCCATGGCTGAGCCCCAGGCGGAGCTCCAGGAGTCCAATCGGCAAAAGAGAGGAGGGATTGTATGGGCAAGAGGTATTGAGACCATGACTGGACAAAGCACAGGCACAAATAGCCAAACTAGTGGAAACACATGAACTGTGAACCAATGGCAGAGGAACCCCTATGGAACTGGACCAGGCCCTCTGGATAAGTGAGACAGGTGATGAGCTTGAACTGTTTAGGAGGCCCCCAGGCAGTGGAGCTGGAACCTGTCCTTGGTGCATGGGCTGGCTTTTTGGAGCCTGAGGCCTATGCTGGGACACTTTGCTCAGCCTTGGTGTAGGAAGGAGGGGCCTGGACCTGCCTCGGCTGAGTCTACCAGGCTGGGCTGACTCCCCAGGGGAGACCTTGCCTTGGAGGAGGTGGGAATGGGAGGTGGATTGGTGGGGAGGGCTGGGGGGTTGGAGGAGGGAGGATGGGGGAATCCGTGGCTGATATGTGAAAATAAGTTAATTATAAAATAAAAATATTTTTAAAAATTGTAAATTATCATTCCTCAAATATTAATAAAATAATCATATTTCAATTCATCCTAATGGGATTTTATTTTAATATATGTTCATCCAGAAGAGCAAATAGGCTCAAAAATTTTTAAATTTACTCACATTAGTATAAAGTATTACTATAAAGCTGCAGAAGAGCTTGGAATCAGTAAAGGAATGGGACAGACTACAGAATCTAGAAAGAAATGTATGCATGAACAGAAAATGACATATGACAAAAATGTCTTGTTAGTAAACTAGAGGGAAACATTTGTCTGGGACTGCCGACTGCAATGTGTACAGAAGGCAAGTAGAACAAGCATAACTGAGCAAGACAAGGACGGGTGGGAACTGTGGCTCATCAAAGGGCACATGCTCATATGTACTTCTGCTCTGCTAACTGACACGAGGAACTAAAGGACTTTAAAAATACACTCTATTAGTGTTTAAAATGTTAGTGATTGAATTCAAATTTTAACACCTATGGCCAAGTATGGTGGTACACACCCTTAATCCCACCATTTGGGAGGCAGAGACAGATGTATCTTTGTGAGTTTGAGGCCAGCCTGGTCTACGTAGCAAGTTTCAGGACAGACCAGAACTTCAGAGAGAGACCCTGTCTCAAACAAAGAGACAGACAGACAAAAACTTATGGGGAACCAAAAAAATGTTTAAGTGCAAGCCAACTGCATACAATAAACTACTAGGTTTAATTGCTCATCTATTCAATAAACCGTCTATAAAACCAGTAGGTTTTTTTTTTACATCACATAGCTAATCTCAACCAAATCAAAGCCATACAAAGATTTGAAGATTCACTTACATAATAATACCAACAACAACAAATGGAACAATAAAACGGCAAATAGCTTAAATTGGGAGAGTAAAGAATTATAAAAATCTTAAACAATATAGTTACATAGTGTTTATGCTGTACTATTATAGTTATTATAATAGTAGTTATTATAGAGAAGATGTGGGTGAGTTATAGGAAAATACTATGTGTAGGGAAAAGGGGCTGGCTAAAAAAACCCACCCTGACCCTGGAGCCCAGAACTAGGGAAAGATAGCTCAGATCAGGGCAGAAAGAAACACAGTTTGGCTCTGTCAGATCAGAGCCATCTCTGCCCCTGGCCAACTGACTTGTGAAACCAACCAATCACAGAGCAGGATAGTAGAACCCTGGGCCCAGGGTTGACTCCACCCCCAAGAATTCCTGTGTAAACTGCCCTGCCTGGTCAGTTAGAAAAACAGGCTGTTCTCTCCACTCTGGTAGAGGCAGCTACTCTCCTGGAATCCTCCTTCCCAAATAAACCTCTTTCTCAAAAGAGTTTTGAGTGTGAAGATCTTCATTCACTGGTGTAGAGAAGATCCTTGCTGAGACGTCCTTCAGTGGACAAAAAAAGGGATAGTTGAAAGAGCAGAGCAAGGAGGAGCTGAACAGAAGATCTTTGCTGAGATCTTCTCAGTGGACACAGCAAGAAGAGAGCTGAAAAGTAATACTTTTCTCCGGAGTCGGAGGAGATTGCTACATTTCTGCAGGGGTTTCCCCTTGGGCAGAGTGAAGCAAAGAAGCAACATCTTAGGCTGGAGAAGCAGAGCTCTGCTAGGAAGCCCCCTTAAGTGGGGACTGAGCAAAGCTCAGCTATAGAGGCTCTCCAGGAGAGGATCCCCCAACACACCAGGTATACCTTGACTTTCCCGGAATAGTCAGGATACCCTTCCCTGCTGAAGCAGTTCCAGGCCTGACTCTCCCAAGAAGTCAGAAAAATTTCCCTTCCAGGGTTGGGCTGCTTCTTTGCAGTTCCAGCCATCAGAGCTGTGCTAAATAGCTCCAGGTGTCCGGGACACCTTCAAGGCAGAGCTGTTGTTCTGAGCAGCTCAAGGTGTCCAGGATACCTCGTCCTGCAGGGCTGAACTGTCTCCTTGCAGTTCCAGCCATCAGAGCTGTTCTAAGCAGCTCAAGGTGTTACCTGACTCCCCAGGTAGTTGGGACACCTTTCCCCAGAGTTGTTGCAACCAATTTACTTACATTTTTGGTGCCAAAACCCGGGACACCAAACCCACAGAGTTGCAAAACTCGCGTTTTGCAACCAATTTACTTACACTATGTGTCTTAGTTCTCTGTTGCTGGAATGAAATACCCTGCAAAAAGCAGCTTATGGGAGAATTTCTTTTTCGCTCACAGTTCCAGAGGGATACAGTCCATGGAAAAACATGGCAGCAGGCAGGGAAGGCATGGTGGCGAGAGCTGGAGACTGGCAGATGACACTGCATCCATACTCAGGAAGTAAAGAGTGAACGAGAAATGGAGCCAAGCTATCAAACCCCAAGGCCTGCTCCCAGGGACTCCAGCAAGGCTTCACCTTCTAAAGGCTCCACAACCTTTCTAAATGGCTGGTGATCACATGTTCAAACACATGAATCTATAGGGGACATTTCACATTCAAGCCACAACACAATGCCATTACATAAGGGATTTTACAGATTTAGGCATCTGTAAGCATCACAGAACCAAGCCCCCACAGATCCCAAGAGCTGTCTGTACAAACATTTCTCACCAAATGATAATGAATTATAGTGCAATAAAACCAAAAATCATCACAAACACCAGTCTCTTCATCAGCTATTCAATACCTGAAAGTATCTCTGATCAACTAGAGCCTGTTGACGGCTGTCTTTGGGGGGCTCATCTTTTTTCTCCACGTCATCAGCCTTTTTTTGACCAATAATCTCTTGTAATCTAAAGAAGGGGAAAAAAAGTCAAGATGATAAAAAAAATGCTTTCTTAGATTAAAATACTTAAGCCAATGATCCAGCTGGCCTCCCCAAAACCTCTTTTTACTCATGTGTTCACGCACATGTATGCAAACTTTAAATACGCATTATATAAAATGTAATCCATACTGTCCCTGGAAAAGTTCCTTCCAATAGATCACAAGTTAGAAGTAATTTCTAAAAACATGAGGGCTCTCCTAGACCAGAGGCATCCTTCCAGGCACAGGGCAGAGTCAGAAGAGAGGTGTCTTTGAGGAATGTTCCCATTTTGCTGTTGCTTTCAGATGGATTTGACCCTATCCAAAATCACATCAAATTCTTCCCTGCTGTGTTTCCTAAAAAACTGTATAAGAATGACCCTCAGAGTCTTAGAAAAAAGGTTCCCCTACCCAGGCCTAACTAAGTGACTGAGAACCCTGGCCTCCAGAGACAGTTTAAACTACAATACCATCACTCCACTCAATCTGCTTTGCAAGCAAGAGAGAAAAAGAACTGAGATCCCGTATGTTAAATTGTCCTTTACTTGAAGGATCACCCTGAATCAGCCCAATCATGTAAAATGTACCTTATATTTTGGCTGTAGAATGTTCTAGTCCAAAAAGGAGCCAGAGGGCAAGAAACAGGTCTCAACCTCCTACAAAGTATCCAAATCCCCAAACTCATGAACTGCCCAACATGACTGTTTCCACCCCTTCAAGTCTTCTGACTACTCATCCCAATCTGCAGCCCTTTAGAGAGACCAGACCCCTCCCCAGTGTGGAAATACTGTCCCCCAGGTGGCCAGCCACAGTACATTGCCCCCTTTTCTTCCACAAGAGATGTTTTCAATTAGTCAGATCTACAGAGGGAAATCTGGGACAAGCTATGTGCATGGCTCCTTTTCTCTATCTGAACTAGACCCCAGAGACCTGGGGAGCTTTATTGATGGCTCCGTTCAGTATGTCCAAACCTTTGAAGAGTAAACCAACTTTATGATTTGACATGCTATTGTTAGAACAAACTCTAACATTTCTTGAGAGATGAGTGATAGATTAGGACATCCATTCTGGAAATGACCTTTATACCTCCAGAGAAAGAATAATATCCCCCAACTTTCCCATTGGTAATGAGGCAGTTCTAATCCAATCTTAAATTCAATCCAGAGGATCAGAGGAATGAACGGATTTAAGGGTACTCTTTTACTGCAGCCTAGAAGGTCGAAAGTCAGCAATTAAGCCCTAAAATTATTCCCAACTGACTACAGTATGTTAGAAGGAAAGGAGACTCCCATGATGCTCTTCCAAAGATTTCAAGAGACTGCAAAATATATACTAATATAGAACCAGGGTCACAGGCAGAGATCATCCAACATGATAAATGCCTGACTTCATTAGCCATATATATAACTCCAAAAATTGGTGATTGAACCAGGCAAGCCACTGGATACTTTGATCCAAACTACTACATTAATTTTCTTATAACTGGGACCAGGAGGAAATACAAAAGGATAAATATCATGGGAAACTGCTGATAGCCATGCAAGTGAATCCTCAAGAAACACAATTAGGATTGTTAGGAAGGCTATTTCAGTTGACAATGCTCTCAGAGACAAACGCCTCCCCCAGGACCCTCTTTGTAAGGGTGATCACTAGATTAGATGCCCTTCCAATCAATGAGGTTCAATGCAACTTGAAGAGTCCTGAGAAGTCTTTACAATGGAGGAAGGTCAAATCAATTCCTCATTAACACAGGAACCCAAAATTCTTAGTCCTCCCATTCATTCTCATCTCTGATCCCCCTTCCAAAAGAAAGCTATTAGTTGGGGCTTATTGAGCCAGCCCTTTAAGCATTATTTACCCAACCTCTTGCCTGTTAATGGAGAGATCTCTATTTCTGTCACCTCTTTTTGGTAATCCCCCAAACTCCTGCTGCTCTTTAGAAAAAGAGATCTCCTGGCCAAAGCCAAAGTAAAACTTCTTTCCCCAAGAAAACATTATTGTCTGCTGCTAATAGAATCCAAATTGTTCAAACAGCATGGACAAATGGGGAATTATTAGGGAAGGCTAGACTATCATCCCTATGGTCATTCATTTTAAAGACCCTTTCCATTTTATGCATCAAAGGAAATATTCTTTAATACCAGAAGTTAGGGATGGGCTCATCACTATAATTAAAATATTAAATAAATAAGGACCATTAATTCAATGATCAAATCCATATACTCCCATATTGAAAGTAAGGAAGGGAATCCAACAAGTGGAGATTAGTTCAAGATCTTAGACTCATCAATGGAGCAGTTGCTCCTCTTTACGCAGTAATTCCCAACCCCTATACTCTTCTAATTCAGATTCCTCCCTGCACCATTCACAACTTTTATTAGTAAACATGCTTTACTTTGTATTCCCATGCACACCAGCAGCCAACCTCCCTCTGCCTTTGAGGACCCTGCCTGAAGGGCTAGACAGGTCACACAGACTATGCTCCTACAAAGGTTTCTGGATGGGCCACACTTTTTTGGGCCAGTCCTCTTCCAAGATTTAATGGAATGGGCTCATACTGGTGGGCCATACTGTTCCAATACTTAGATGATCTTCTTTACAGGTTCTCCAAGGAGACTATCTCTTGGATTTCAGAACCTTTAACCTTCTTGCTGAAAGAGGCTACAAGTGGCATGGGATAAGGCACAAGTATATGGGACCAGAGTTTCTTATCCTGGTCATGTCCTAGCAGAAGGAACCTGAGTCCTGGGGCTAGAACAAATCTGACCTATCCTGGCCTTCCCATTTCCCAAGACTCTAAAATAATTGAGGGCCTTCCTAGGAGTCACAGGATATTATATGGTTTGGATCCTAGGATTCAGTGAATTGGCCATGTCTCTCTTTCAAAAAGTTTCAAGAAAACTCAAATCCAAGGCTACACTCAGACTGAATGGACCTCTGAATCTTTTCCAAAGAAATGAGGTCTTAACTGGAGCACCAGCTCTGGGACTTCTCACCCGACTAGACTTTAGGGTCTATGTAATAAAAGGAGACAGCATTTGGGGCAACAACACAATTTCTACGTCCCTCACCCTAGCCAGCAGGACACATTAAGAACTACAAAGTGCCAATAGATGGCCTAGCTCTCTTCAGGTTGTAGCCTCAGTAGGACTTCTAAGCACCAAGGCTCAAAAGTTTATCTTTAGATGTCCCCACATAGTCTATACTCTGAATGAACTGGGGCATTTCAATTCTAAAGAGAACGAACACAGGGCTTTTTGATAGCTGTCATACCCAGTCCTTGTGGTGAACAGATCAGATATTATTCTTAGGATCTGCAAAAAAAAAAAAAAAAAAAAAAAAAAAAAAAAAAAAAAAAAAAGCTTAACTCTGTCAATTTTCCTGCCAGAAGGGGAAGGGAATCACTTCATTCAAGCAAAGAAGTCCTAACAGAAAGCTATGCAGCCCAGCTGATCTCACAGATCAACCTTTACAAAATCCTGGCTTGGTACTCTATACAGATGGGAGTTCTAGTACTAAAGATATGCAGGGTATACAACAGCTACTGGTTTTGGCACCCTTACTCAGAATGACGGCCCCAGAACTTTGGTGCTCAACTTGCTGAATTGATAGCCCTTACCAAAGCATTAGAATTAACAAAAGGAAGAGAGTAAGTATGTATACGGACTCCAAGTCCTTTCCCAACTCTTCATGCCCATACAATATGGAAAGAAAGGGGGACTACTGAAGACAGAAGAAAACCCCACCAGACATTCTCAAAGAGAACCTTAAGCTTCCTGGTACAATCCTCTTGCCCTCCCTGCTATCTGTGTACAAATTACTATACTAGGCATCAAATAGGAGAGGACTATATGGCTAAAGAGAATGGGGTGGGGGGGGGCAGATTCAAAAGCCAAGAGAGCTGCACTGAGTCATGGGGAATGCCCTGTTCTTTGGGAGGAATCTCTGCTACCTCCTAAAAGATCCAAATATTCCGCTGAGGAAACAGCCTTTGGTTGTCATTTTAACTAAAGATGGTGGCTCTCTTCTACTGACCAGTTACCATTACCAAAATCTCTTCGATAGAAAGTTTAAAAATCCCTTTAGTAGATGTTATCACTTAGGAAGGAAAACACTTTTCTAGCCAGAGGTGTTTTAGGCCAGGGTCTCAAGGAGGTAATCCAACAGGTGGCACAAGGATGTGAAATATGCCAAAAGATTAACCCATCAAACAGGCACCTTCAGTTCCCAGGGACCCAAAGACAAGGACTCTATCTGGGAGAGGACTAGCAATTTTACTTCATTCAAATGCCAAGAGGACCTAATTCTAAGTCCTTTTAATTTTAGTGAATACCTTCATGGGCTGGATAGGCTTTTCCATGCAAAACACACAGGGCATCAGACGTGGTTAAGATTTTACTTATAGAAATAATCTCTTGATTTGGGCTTTCTAAATGCCTCCAAAAACAACAGATCTGCCTTCAGGGCAGAAGTCACTGAAAGCCTAACTTAAAACTTTAGAATTCCGTTTCACCTACATTGTACCTAGTGTCTTCAATTGTCAGACGAGCTGGAGAGGCTAATGAACTCTTAAAGAGGCATTTGTTTAAAGAAGCTCATCCAGGAAACCAGATCTCCTCAGACTAAATTACCCCTAGCTTTAATCAGGCTTAGAAACATCCCTAACTACCAAAGCCAAACCCTCTTTGAGGTACTATATGGCAGGCCATTCTTACCAGTGCTTTGGTGCTGAACCCAGAAATGGCCAGGCTAATTTCCCATGTTATCCAATTAGCAAAATCCCAGAAAATACTGTCAAGAACTTCAAGCTGGGTTCTCTCAAGAGAAACAACAGAGATCCCCCTTCTACCCTGGGGACTTAGTTAAAACTCCTGATGACAATGGATGTCTCGCTCACCCATATCCTGTTATTCTATCCTCATCTATGAACAGCAGGACAGACGCATGGATCCCTCACATGAGTCTCAAGCCTTAGACTGCCTCTCCTGATACTTCTAAGCTAGCAGTGGATCCTGAGACCAAGACTACCTCATTCCAGTTACTCCTGAGAGCCACTGGGGGACCTTAAGCTGCTCTTCAAACAATCACCTAACTAAAGATAAACTCATTTGAGTGCAAACCAGCAGAACGTACAGGTACACTGTTGCTGTAGTTTCTCATTTGTATCGCACTGGTCTTGTTGCACCTGCCTTAGTTTGTGGTGTCACTTGTCCCATAATTCGGGATGACTCCTAAAATCACTCTGCTTTACTTCCAGATGATTTTTTAACTACTCTAACACCCACCTATGACCAACCATGCCAAGGTTCTGGGGCTAGCTATCATGTATGTTTCCCTTATCAATGACCTTATCTGAGATACAATGGATGCTCCTCCTCACCACCTTCATTATAATGCTCTTAATCTTACTTAATACATATTTTAGATGCCACCACAAATACCATGAACATAGGACAACAAAAGAAAGCTATCATCACCAGGAACTAAAACAAAGGCTGATCCACCACCACATGGAACTTTCTGCTATGGGCTCCTAGACAGGCCTCCTCTGGAGGGACCCTGACTGCTGTTTTATAACTCTGCCCATTCTGTCAGCTGGAAGCAGCAATGACCAATCCCCTCCTGAGAACAGGTAATGAAAGAAAGTAGGAGTTAGGGAGTTCCCTTGTTAGGTAGACAGTGAGGGAAGAGGAGCCCTGGATAATGTAAATTGGCATATCCTAAAATGGATGTTGGATATCGTAGAGGAGGGGCCACAGCCAAAAATTAACTTTTCTATTCCAGCATGCCTCACATCAGAGAACAGGTACTTGTGAAGACATGTGCAGAGAGTATAAGGTACATGGACAACGTCTCAATACAATACCTTGTGGATCCAGAGCCCCAACTAATGGAAGCCCATCACCCAATTCCTGAGCTGAAAACCATCATGTGTTGTCAGAGACTTCCAGGCAAACTGGTAATGGAGGTGCTGATTGACTCAACACAAAAGAGCAAGCACTACCAACGATAACCTGCAGACTCCAGACTCCAGACTCCAGGACCTCTCCTTTGGAAGAGTCTGTTCTCACCTGCTACTTTTGCTTTGATTAAAACATTAGCTCCGCTACACTTTGAATCCTTTAACACCTTTCAATTATTTAATTGGTGGAAGAACTCTACCTCTACACACCATAATAAGGTGTGTGGTGCTTCTGCACACTGAACCCATCCCTCTGGCCTTACTATCACCATCATTACTACTGTATTTATGCTGTACTGAAATTGTCGTATTTATCTAGTCTTTCATGATCATCCTCCCTTCATGCCATCTCTACAAGGTCAAGGACCTTTTTTATTTGGCATTGTAACTCCAATGTCTAGAATACCACATAGATACTAGGAAGTACTCCTGGGAAGCCAGATCACCAAGCAACAGGAGGAAAGGATATTCACTGAATAAATGTAACCTTTCCAAACCTTCCCCTAGACTTCTGTTTAAGTTTTTCTCCTCAACCTTAATGTAAATAGATACACGATGACTCTCTCCTTGCCCTTGTTTGCCTTTTCACTGTGACAGTGTACCATGAGGAGCAGAAAGAGCAGCCATCACTGGAAATGAAACTGAAACAATATACACTAATAACACAGGTGAATTAGTATATTTAATGCAGATACTAACAGCTTTCAAAATAATCCATCCCAAAGCTTCACAAATTACTTTAAGTCCTAGTCTTTTGAATCAAAGAATACATAGATAATCTTAAGGAAATAGAATCACTACTTGAAGTCATTTTGAAATACCCCCGAGACCTCACTTTTCAAAGCAGGGGAAAGGAGTTAAAGATGGTAGATAGGGCCAGGCAGTGGTGGTGGCGCATGCCTTTAATCCCAGCACTTGGGAGGCAGAGCCAAGTGGATCTCTGTGAGTTCGACGCCAGCCTGGTCTACAGATCGAGATCCAGGAAAGGCACCAAAACTATACAGAGAAACCCTGTCTCAAAAAACAAACAAAACAACAACAACAACAAAAAGATGGTAGATAGGTTGGTACACTGTGTGTTTTCTGGCACTTTTAGTTTTTAAGTAACAAAACTTACTAAGATTTTTCAGATCATGCTGGCGAGGCACCTCAGTGGTATAGCATTTACCCTAGCATGCTCAAGGCCCTAAGTTCAATTCTTAGCACAAAAATCAGCATAAAAATTTTCATATTGTGACTAGCTCTAATAAATAGGATCTGCTATCTGCAATTTCTTCCACTTCTAGCGTTAATTTTCTATTGCAATCTTTTTCTTTTCTTTTCTTCCTATTATTTCTTTATTCAATTGAGGTGAATATAAAGCCAAGTCCAGGCCCAGAAAGACAAATGTTGTATGTTCTGTCTCATATGCAGTTCCTAACTTCAAATCTTTTGTGTATTTAACTTGAAATGTAAGTGAAAGCCAGAAAACTAGAAAGGTGCCTTTTGAAGGAAACACATTAATGGAAAGAGGACAGTAGATCATAGGTGAAATGAAAGTAGAGAGGTGGAATAATGGGGGTACACAGGCTTAATCAGGGAGGGGCACACATATGGGAGTGACAAGGAGCTAGAGAGGAAGGCTGACCCAAGGAAAGGGTACATGAAAACACATATGGAAGTCTACTGTCTTACAACCCAGTTTTTAAAATTGGAGGGACAAAAGAATTATACGTGAAATAAAAGAAGAGGGGAATTACTGAGTGTTAAGGGGTCAGGTGGGGATAGAGATAGGGTTAAAGAGAAAACAAGTTAATTAAAACTAAAGCTGTATGAAAAAGCCTTTTTGGAAGCCTACTAGCTGGTTTGAAATTACAACTTAAAAATTTTTTAAATGAAAATACCCTGCATGGGTGGACCATGCCACTCTTGGAATACATGGGTGTATTCTTGGAAGATATGGGATACTTTCTAGGAATTAATGGTCAGGGAGGCCCTAGAGGCCTCCAAAACAACACAGGCTACGCTCATAGCCCCTGGTTACTCACCAAACTATTTGGCAAGATCCAAAAACCCTCCTGCTGAAGACACAATACACTTTGGCTACAGGACATACAGAAAAAGCTCAGACCAACCAGGAAACTTCCTAATGCAGGCTAGCTTTCATAGAGCCAGAGGAGCTATGTAGGCTTCTGAAAAAGAGAAGACGTCAGTGCTAACCAGTGCTGGGCCTTGAATGCTGCAGCACTGACCTACCAGGGAAGATAAGTCTGCTGGTTCAAGAGTGGCATGGGATAACGGCTTCCTGGTTGGATTTGAGGCCTGTTCCACAAGAGGTAACTTCATGCCTGGTACTTTAATCCTTATCAAAAGTCCATGACTCAGGAGTCGTAGGCCTTAGGGCAGAGCCTGCCGTTGTTATCTTGATAAATGATCTTGCTATCAAAATGCTGTCTAGATATCTATGTTTATACCTATAAAACTGGGATGCGTTCAGCTTTGATCAAAGTAGTTTCTTCTGGCAGTTGGCAGCAGTCAATGAAGAGAAACATAACTGGCCAAAGTTCTGAGAACAAGAGACTGAATGCCCAGCCCTATCACACACTTCCACACTCCAGGAACAAGGCACAAAGAATGGAAGAGCCAGGCGATGATGGAGGGAGGGGTGCTGTGAAATTCTGTATTCTGGACGTGATCAGTCAGGAACTCACAGCACCTGCGATTATAAAATTAAGCCAGACAAGAGTCCAGCATAGACAAGCTAGAGGATCTCCAGGCCCCACCTCTTACTGCTACTGGTAGTTAGGATTCTGGGGGAGAGACTCATTCCTTTTGAGGATGTGGACAACAACAAGATCCCATGCTTCAGTGGACAAACTAAACCCATGCCCATATAGGTAGCACCAACTGGACTTAGCAGGTTGTTTTTTTGTTTGTTTGTTTTGTTTTGTTTTTTAAAGCACAAAGTTAGTTGGGGGACATATGAAGGAGAAGGGACTTGTAAAGGGGGAATGATGTATATGATTGTATTTCAATATCTGAATGCATGAAATTCTCAAGGATATATAACATAAAAATAAAGCCAAACCCAAATTGCTTTTAAACTGTTAGAATCAGAAATATCCCTTTCTATTGTTTATGTTTGTTTTTTTGAGACAGAGCATTGCTACATAGCCCAGGCTAGCCTCATATTTGTGGTCCTCCTGCCCGGCCTCTACAGTGCTGGAATTTATGGGTTCATGCCAGCATGCCTGGCTCAGAAATACTTATAATTATCACATCTCTCATTGGTCTGGCAATTCCAAGCCAAGGCTGCTTTATTATAATACACAACGGCGCACAGATATAAAAACAATTAAGAAAATACAGGACCCAACTATAAGCTATAACTTTGACAAAATGTAATTACTTGATGCTTTTCTTAAGGGCTTTTTCCAGTTTCTTCACCTGCTGTTTATAAAGTCTTAATTCATGTTCTGTGGGCCTGTAAAGAAGAAATCATGATAAATACATTAAATTTATTGAAAAGGATAAAAATATTTAGCAAACAAAAAATAAATCTTGTTGTGTTATCAATAAACATTAAAATTATTTTTAAATTAAATTTTATGCGTATAGGTGTTTTGCCTGCATACATATATATGTGTGCCTGGTGCCTGTGGATGCCAGAAGGCAGCAATGGATCCCCAGGAACTGGAGTCCAGATGTTTGTGACCCACCATGTGGGTTCTGGGAATCAAACCCTGTTCCTCTGGAAAATAGCCAATGCTCTTATCTATTGAGCCATCTCCCCAGCCCCTTATTAAAATCCTTAATTCTTAGGTGTTTACTAGGCATTTTGATTTATTCTGTATAATTTCATATTTAAAGTCTTTATTCACTTTTGTGCTAATATGTAACTTGTTTCTGGTGAATACATCATCCTCTGTAATGGCTGGTTTCTATCAACTTGACACAAACCTAGACATATCTGGGAAGATGGAATCTTTTTTAAAAATAATTTATTTTTATTTGCATTGGTATTTATTTTGCTTACATGCATGCCTGGGTGAGGGTGTCAGATCTTGGAGTTACAGACAGTTTTTAGCTGCCATGTGGGTGTTGGAAACTGAACCCGGGTATTGGCATGCTGCAGGCATGTCTCAAGAAGAGATCCTGTCTCCAAAAAAAAGGTGGGCAGATCCCGAGGAATGACATTTGAGGCTGACCTCTAGTTTCCACATGCATGAGCACAGACACGCACACCTAACTGCACACACATTTGTACCCACACACATAAACACACAAACACAAGAAAACCCTGAATCTCCTCAAAGTTCTTACCCAGTTTTACCCTCAGCATGGACTCCTATTTTCTCATTTCCTTTGCTTGCCTAAGGATTCCTATTCCCTTCATCATTTGCCATGAAACACAACTAACCAAAGGGAATACAGGAGTGTCAAGTACTTGGGTGGAGTTTTTGAGTAAGAGGGCAAGAACGACTCCTCCCATATTCTACAAGGTAAAGAAAAATGAACTTCTCTCACCTGTTTTCCAGATCTTTTTGGAGGCTCAGCTTCTCACCTAACAGTGTGTCAATCTTGGATTTTGATTCCTTGAGTTGATTCTGTAATGACTGCAATGCAATTCACAGTAAAATAAGTAACTCTCCTAGGGGATTTATAAGATGCTTTATAAGAAGGTATTTATCAGTTCTCTGGTCTCCATACCATCAGAAGGCTTTTATAACTTGGTGAGGCATCCAGGTTCCTGTAGTCTTTTTCTTCTGACTGACTGTCATCCTCCTTACACTGCCTGTGGGAAGACAAACACACTGCATCTTATGGAAATACACCCTTCAAGAAAACATCAGCTAGCAAATATTAAGCCAATCTAGTAAGTCCTTAATAACTTAAATGTGAATTTAAAAATCCCAATTTCCTACTTGGTCTACAGCAAATAGTATCACAGCACAGCACTACCTAATCTTAAGAGTGTTCTGTTACTAACTCTTACTTAGAATGTGTGAGGACCAGAAAACTTTGTCATGGGACACAAAGGCGATGAAAAACACTTGTTGAATGAACAAACAAAACACAAATAGAACACTCTAGGTCTTTAAAAAAAAAATACACTGTGTGCATATGGTTTATTCCTTTTAGTACTTTCAATTCATTAAAAAAAATTTTCAAGAAAAAGTGTAGAGTGTAATTGGGTAACAATACACAGCGCACAGCACACCTCACCTACCCTGTGCTTCTTACATTATTTAACATTCCTAAATACATCTACCCTTCCTGCCAGTGTATTCATCTAACCAAAAAATCCTTTATCTTATCTGTTTTTGAAAACTCCACAGTCTATATGCAAATCTTACCCGTTCCTCTACCTTTCACCACTCTCTCCTTTTGCCACACATACACTGTCACACCTGCCTCACAATTATAGTACACACCACTACACCTCACATGTATTTACATGAGTACCAATATACATCTTCCCAAGTACACTATCAGGACAGGGTCTCACTCTAATTCAAGCCAGCTGGGGATGCACTATGTAGCCCAGGCTGGCTTCAAACTTGTGGCTATCCTGTTTCCTTTACTTCCTCAACGTTCCAACTACTCTACAGGGAGCTAGGATACAGGCATGAACTACCACACCCAGCTATATGCCAATTTTTCACTGACATTCTATCTTTGGTGTATTAAATTTGCATAACTAGGTTTTACTCTGCTCCACAGCCAATGTACTATGTCTATATATTTTAGGAATGTACTTACTATCCAGTGGCTAAATAACATAACGCTTCAACAAAATAAAAGGAAATGACACTTTTATTGTTTACCTAAGCAGTAAAATACAGTCTTATAGAGCTTTATTAAAAGAATTTCAGCATGAAGTTGTGAGGAAGATGTGAGGGGGGACCAAAATTTGTTGGGAAGAAATGGAGGGTAAATATTTCCAACATACACCATAGGCAAAAAAATAAAAAAATAAAATAAACACTGTATGTGTGGTGGTTTGAAAGAAAATGGCCCCCAAAGGGAGCCATTGTTATGGCCTTGATGGAGTAGATGTGACCTTATTGGAAGAAGTGTGTCAGTGTGAGGGTGGGCCTTTGAGTTCTCCTATGCGCAAAATACTCCCTGTGTCACAGTCTACTTCCTTTCCTGTTCTCTTCTGATCAAGATGTTACCAGCACCATGTCTGCCTGCACATCGCCATGCTCCCCACCATGATGATAATGGACTGAACCTCTGAAACTGTAAGTGAGCCACCCCAATTGAATGTTTTCCTTATGTCTCTTCACAGCGTCAGAAACCTTAAGACAGTATGGATATATGAAATTCTTGGAGGATAAAAAATACTATATTTGAAAAAGAATTTCATAATGATATACAGACTTCCAAAACATAATTTGTTCCTGGATAATATTCATCCTGAATTACTTTAAAATTATATTATTTATACCTTTGTGCATGGAATTTTCGAAGTTTAGATTCATAGTAATCAATTAGACAAAGCAATCTAGAAAACAAAAAATATGTTAAATTATTTTCAAAAGGTAGTATCAACTATTCTTTTATATAATTTCAAATTATAATGATAAAAGTAAGCACAGACTGGGAATAGAGAGATAGCTTAGCAGTTAAGAGAGCATACTCCAGGGCTGGAGAGATTGCTCAATAGTTAAGAACAATGGCTGCTCTTTCAGAGGACCCAAGTTTGATTTCTAGTACCTACATGGTAGCTTACATTCATGCATAACTCCATTCCAGGAGATCAAGCACTTTCTTATGGCCTCCACAGGGACCAGGCTCACATGTGGTACATACATATACATATAGGCAAAACACTCATACATAGAAAAAATTTTAAGATTTATTAGCCAGGTAGTGGTGGCACATGCCTTTAATCCCAGAACTTGTGAGGCAGAGGCAGGTGGATCTGCATGAATCTGAGGCCAGCCTGTTCTACAGAGCGAGTTCCAGGACAGCAAAGGCTACAACAAAGAAACCCTGTCTCGAGGAAAAAAAAAAAATTTACTTATTTATGTGTGTGTGTACAATTTGTGTTCAAGTGCACATGGAGGCCAGAAGAGGGCATCTGATCCCCTGGAGCTAGACAGTTGTGAATCATCATTTGGGTGCTGGAAATAGAACCCAGGTTCTCTGCAAGAACAGTAAGCACTCCCAACCTCTGAGTCATCCCGCCAGCCCTAAAACAAAAATAAAATAAAATAGAGTGTATACTGCTCTTGCAGAGGACCCAAGTTCAGTTCCCAGCACCTTCTATAACTCCAGCTCCAGAGGCTTCTAGTGCCTCTGGCAATACCTGCACTCACAAGCACATAAACTCAAAAAAATATAAACGCATTATTAAAAATAAAATCTTTTTAAAAAGTAAGTACAGATTATCTGGCAAACTTAAAATTTTTTCAATCATTCTTGCCAGAAACAAGTATTACATTAAGCCATATATATTAATTTATATTAATATATTTTTAAACATGTCTCAATTTTTTAAATACATACTCTTCCTGCTCCAATAATCCTACCTCTGGCAATTTGCCACAGAAATATCTGCCCAAGGCTCAGTGGTTAAGGGTACTGGTTGCTCTTACACAGGACCTGGGTTTGATTCCCAGCACCCACATGGCAGCTCACAACTGCCTGGAATTCTAGTTCCAGGGGACCCAACACCTTCTTCTGATCTCTGAAGTCTCCTGCATACATATGGTGCACATACATATACTCAGGTGTTCTCACGCTCTCTTTCTCTCCCCTCTCCTATTTCCTTCTCTCTCTTATACACACATACACACACACAAAACTGATACTTTTTTTAATTTGTTTATTTGGATTTTGTTTTTTAATTTATTTATAGGGTCTCACTATATGGCTCTGGCTGGTCTAGAACTCCAAGATCTACCTGCCTCTGCCTCTCAAGTGTTGAGATTAAAGGCATGTGCCACCATACCAATTCATGATTAATATTTTTAAAATATCTAAATTCATTCATTAAGGAGCTGGAAAGATGGTTCAGTGGTTAAGAGCATTGGTTGCTCTTTCAGAGGACACAGATTTGATTCTCAGCACCTACATGATGGCTCACAGCTGTCTGTAACTTCAGCTCCAGGGGTGTCTGATACCCTCTTCTGGCCACTGCAGATATGGCACCCTATCAGCACCAGACACATGTGGTGCACATACATACATGCAGGCACAACGCCCATACACATAAAATAAAATTTGAAGGTTAGGGCTAGAGAGATGGCTCAGTGGTTAAGAACACATACTGCTCTTCCTGAGTACCTGAGTTCAATTCCCAGCACCTACATCAGGTGGCTTACAACTGCCTGTAACCCCAGCTCCAGGGGGTTCTCACATCTCTGACCTCTGTGGGCACTTGCATTCATGTGCACATACTCCCCCCCCACACACACATATATACACACATAATTAAAATAATAAAATCTTTAAAATGAAAAAAATTTAAGTTTAGCTGGGCATGGTAGTGCATGCCTTTAATCTCAGCACATGGGAGGCAGAGGTAGTCAGAGCTCTGTGAGTTCCTGGCCAGCCTGTTCTACAGAATGAGTTCCAGGACAACCAGAACTATTACACAGAGAAACCCTGTCTTGAAAAATCAAATAAATATATAAATAAATTCCTCAAAATACTCTAAGAAAAAATTACATTTATACACACACACGTGAACTGGAAAAAAAAAATCAAAAGAAAATGAGACTTCTCTAGCAAAAGATATAAGCACTGTCAAGATAAAATCAGCTGAAAAATAATCAATCTAGTTCTATTATCATCCTATGTACTGGGCATTACTGTTTATCCAAGACTGTGTGAGGAACTCTCTTGCAGAGATAGGCAAACACTCTGTTTTGAGTGACAACACGCTCTTCTTCCTCTTTGGTTAATCTGTAGATATCCTTCTGCAAAGAAGCAATGGTCTCTTCTTGCTCCATTCGTTTTTTCTTATAGTGCTGGCATTTCATCTGTAAGCAAATTGTAAACTCATAATTATATTTATACATGTAGGACATACTGTTCTATTATTATCCATGTCACCATCTCCACTGAGTTGTTTCATTCAATAATCTCATCAAGGCTGTTTAAAAACTGATGCAAGGAATATCAATATGTCACAAATGTGAAGAACCTATAAAATGAGGAAACTATGACAACTATATGCATTCAAGATTTCATAACAAATAAAGATTTTAAGAATCTCTATAAAGTAATGTGATTTTCTATTTCAATGGTTTTATGAAACCAGGTTTCTACATAGCCCAGGCTGGCTTCCAGCTTGTGATCCTATTTTATCAGCCACCTAATTGTTGAAGTTACAGCTGTGGACTACCATGCCTACCTTATATTTAAGTTGAGATAAAAATAATAATCAAGAGAATTATATATTATAAATATTTTAAAAGAACCATAAAGCAGCTGGACGGTGGTGATGCATGCCTTTAATCCCAGCACTCAGGAGGCAGAAGCAGGCAGATATCTGTGAGTTCAAGGACAGCCTGGTCTACAGACTGAGTTCCAGAACAGCCAGGACTATTACACAGAGAAACCCTGTCTCAAAAAAACAGAGAGAGGGAGAAAGAGAGACAGAGAGACAGAGAGAGACAGAGACAGAGAGAGACAGAGACAGAGAGAGACACAGAGAGAGAATCACAAATGAAAATTAAGATTTTTTTTTAATGATTTTTGGATTGCAAATGATGTAGTCAGTTTGGACATCCAGGCAATGGGGGAGACTATAAACTCAGAATAGGGTCTATAACCAGTATGTGCCTTAGATTTATATAAAAAAAAAAAGACATCACTTTCAAAACCTAACACTCATAGCTAAGCACATGGTCATCTGCTCAAAATGTCAAACTCATTGATACTTAACAACCCTCAAAGAGGAAATAGTCTCAGTTACTGGTAACATCTCATCTCCTAGTGAACATGAAATATGTAGTAATTCATCCTCTGCCTTGGCCTTCCATGAAACCAGGCATGACCTCTACAGCTAAGTGATGAGGATGCCAGTCTCTCCTCAATATGTAAGTTCTTCAAAATCTAGAAGTAATCATTGAAGTTGATATTCTTCTTGGCATATATATATTCATTACAGTGATGAGATTCACAAGAACATCTTTGGATACCATGTATTTTGACCATGCTCACCTCTGTATCTTTATTTTTCCTCTTCCCCACTGTTCTTTATTCCCCCAGTCTGGCTTCAATTTTCAAGATGCATGCGCATGCGCGCACACACACACTTTTAGTTCACTCATCTCTTGGACACTTTGACTGATTCCATAGCTTGACTATGAGTACTACTACAGTAAGCATGGGTGTGCAAGTGTCTCTGTGATCATGAATCTAGTCTTCGGATATATACCCAGGAAGAGTATACCTGGGTTATAAGTTAGTTCTATTTTTAGGTTTTTGAGGAAACCTCCACACTGATTTCTATAGTGGCTGGACTAATTTATACTCCCTTCAGTAAGGGTTTTCTTTTTTCCAAAATTTTTATTATCATTTCTTGTTACTTGTCTTAATGATAGGCATTGTGACTAGGGTGAAATAGAATCTCAATGTAGTTTTAATTTGCATTTCCCTGGTTGCTAAGGGTGTTGACCATTATTTGTCTATTTACAGGTCACTGGTACTTCAATCTTTAGAGAACAGTCTGTTCATTAATTAGCCTATTTATCAACTTATTTAGACTGTTTGGGCTTGGTTTTTTGTTGTGCTTTTTTGAGACAGGATCTCACTATGTAGCCTTAGCTAGCCTGGAACTCACAGAGAACTCCTCCCTCTGCCTCCTGAATGTTGGGATTAAAGACATGTGACACCATTCCTTCCTGAGTCCCTATATATTCTAGATAGTAATACACAGCTGGTATAGTTTTCTCCCCTTCTATTGGTTGTCTCTTCACCCTGTTGGTTGGTTCCTTTCCTGTGCAGAAGCTTTGAAAATTTATGCAATCTTATTGTCGATTCTTGTTCTTATTTCCTGAACTACTGGAGTCCTTGTCAGAAAGTTCCTGCCTATGTCTTTACTTTTAAGAGGTTTCTTTTTCTAACAGTTTCAATTTAGATTATTAAAGTCTTTGATTCATTTTGAATTGACTTTTGTACGGGATAAGAGATAAGGATCTAGTTTCATTCTTCTATATATGGATATCATGTTTCTCTGTACTATGTTGAAGACGCTGTCTCTTTCTCCAATGTATGTAATTGGCATCTTTGCCCAAAATTCAATTGAGTTATTATAAGTCTATTTCTGAGCTATCTATTCTATTTCACTGATATACATATTTTTGTGACAGTACCAAACTGTCACACAGTTTGTTACTACAGTTTTGTAGTTATAATTTGAAACCAGGATAATACTATCACCAGCATTATTATTTTGCGATCAGAATTGCTTTCACTATCAAGGGCCTTTTATGCTACCATATGCATACTAGAACTGTTTATTCAATTCTGTGAAGAATGTTATTTGAATTTTGATGGGGATATAGAAATTGCTTTTGGTAATATAACTACTTTCTTTTTTTTTTTGGTTTTTCGAGACAGGGTTTCTCTGTGTAGCTTTGCGCCTTTCCTGGAACTCACTTGGTAGCCCAGGCTGGCCTCGAACTCACAGAGATCCGCCTGGCTCTGCCTCCTGAGTGCTGGGATTAAAGGCGTGCGCCACCACCGCCCGGCCAATATAACTACTTTCTAATTCTGCCAATCCATAAACTGAACAGAAAGTCTTTCTATCACCTAGTGTATTCTTCAATTTCTTTTTTCAGTGTTTTAGTTTTCATTTTATGTCTGAGGAAAGGGTTCAATGGGTAAAATATTTGCCAAGCAAGCAGGAGGACCTGCATTTTGAGTCCCCAAGCCCACATAGAGCCAGGTGCAGCAGCACTCATCTATACTTCCACCATTCGTATGGCAAAATGGGAAACAGAGACAGAAGAATTCCCAGAAGCTCACAGGCTGGGTAACCTATGCTCTGTATAAAATTCACTAGTATCTGCTCATGTGGCTTTATTATACATAGTATAAGGTAATATAACCACATAAAGAGAAATATGGTATCTATACAGGCCACTTAAAAGTCTATATAGGGCACTGAGATCCATAATGAGAACTATGATCTCTATATAAGATATCATGGATTCAATAAATTTCCAATATGAGCTTTCATCAGGTGGAAAAGGATCTATATTCATGAGCATTATGACTCCATATAAGACATGATGAGCTCTGTATAGGATACTATGAGTTCCAAGCAGGACAGCATGAGATGTGCCCATGGCATTGTAATCTATATGTAAAACATCATGAATTTTATGAAAGTCATTCTGACCTCTATAAAGTGTCCTATGAGATAAACTACATGCAATATGAGATTTCTGTCAGCACTGTGTGCTGCATATAAGTACACTATGAGCTACAGAGAGGAGACTGTGAAGTTTATACAAAACATTATAAGCTTATATAAAGGTACATTATAATCTGTACTACTTTAGTATGGGCTCTAAATCATGTGCACTGTGAGCTCTATTCAGGGCACTATGAGCTCTATAAAATAGGCACTAAGAGCTCTGTATAGGGGACCTAGAGTCCATAAAGGACACTATGAGCTCATGGATATCATATGTCCTTTAATCAAGAGCACCTTGAGCTATACAGAGGTGCACTATGAGCTTTATAAAGGACATTATGAATTATACAGACACACTATGAGTTCAATACACTCACACACACACAGAGGGAGGGGTGGGTGGGTGTACACTGTAAGATGTGTACTTGGGATCATGAAGTCTAAACAGATGCTTTATGAGCTCTATTCATGAGTGATATGAACTCAGTGGAGATATGCTGTGAATTCTACACGTCACTATCATGGCACGGAGCTCTAAACAAGTTCACTATGAGAAATACACAAGGCACTATGAGATCTGCACAAGATCTCCATGCAGAGTACTATGAGATCTATAATAACCTTTGAGGACTATAAAAAGAATACTGCCAAGTAGTGGTGACACATGTCTTTTAATCCTAGCACTCAGGAGGCAGTGGCAGGCAGATCTCTGTGAGTTCGAGACTAGTCTGGTTTACAGAGCAAGTTCCAGGACAGGCTCCAAAGCTACACAGAGAAACCCTGTCTCAAAAAACCAAAACCGAAACCAAACCAAACCAAACCAAAACTAAAGAATACTAAAAATTCTTTATGTACAAGATGAGATCTGAACTGGGAGTTCTATACAAGTGAACTATACGAGTTCTACAGAGAACTCCAGGAGCTTTCCACATGGCCTATGACCTCTAAATATGGTAGTATGGACACTAAAAAAGGTGTACTCTGAATTTCATACAGTTGTAATATGAGCTCTACCTGGGGCGCACAACATACTCAACAGAAGTGCACTGTGGGTTCTCCATGGCACTATGCACTTATACAGGGCACTCTAAGCTCCATCAGGTGAACTATGAGATCTATACAGGCTTCCAGTAAGCTCTATTGTCTTGGTTAGGGTAACTATTATCATGATGAAACACCATGACCAAAAACAACTTGGAGAGGAGAGGGTTTATTTGACTTATATTCCCACATCATAGTCTATCACTGAAGGGAGTCAGAACAGGAAACCAAACAGGGCAGGAACCTGGAGGTAGGAACTGATGCAGAGGCCATGGAGGGGCTCTGCTTACTAGCTTGCTCCCCATGGCTGGCTCAGCATGGCTTCTTACCCAGGATCATGAGCCCAAGGGTGGCCTCACCCACAATGGGCTTGGGCCTCTTACATCAATCATTAATTAAGAAAATGTCCCACATACAGGTGCACTGTGAGATCTATATAGAACACCATAAACTCCAAACAGCATTATGGTCTATGAAGGTACTGTGAGCTGTGTATAGGGCAATATATGCTTAATACAGGGAAACAGTTGTATGCTGGGTATTATGACATTATAAAGTATACATTGTTTTAGGGATTCTTTGTAGATAACTATGACTTGTACAATATTCGTTATGGGATGTACATAGAGATTGAGACATTTACAATGAAATCTGAGCTCATTACAGGGCAATATGAGATTTACACAGACACTGATACCCACATACAGGACACTATGTCTCTAAACATGACACTATGGTTGCTATAAAGTAGACTGCTAGACATTTGCAAGTGTAGGAAAACCCCTGTGCAGGCATATGAGCTATGCAATAGTGCAGTATGAGATGCCAAAGGGCGCGGTGGTTAAGAGCACTTCCTGCTCTTCCAGAGGATGTGAATTCAGTTCCCAGCACCCACATCCAGCAGCTCACAAGTTCCTGTAACTCTAGTTCTAGGGGACCTAACATCCTCTTCTGGCCTCCAAAGACAGCCATACGTATGTGGCATACACTCACATAGATACACACATGCATCTTTTAGGGATACTCATGAAACTATAACATGCAGCCTTATAGCTGAATCTCAAAATGAGGTGCTAAGTAGAAAAGCTCACCTATTTACATTACTGTCCTATGCCAAAGTAAATTGTTTTCCTCTAACCATCTTCCCACATACCTCAAGCATTTGGATTTCCTTGACCTTTGTCACAGACATACACCATGGAAGCAACATGGAAATTACCTGGGACTATGAAAAACTTTCAATATTAACCATCAAATAAGAAAATATATAAGTCAATACAATACCTGTAACAGTTTATGCTCCTTTTGAAGGTCTTGTATTCTGTTTTGTTGCTGGCAAACCCTGTTTAGGGACTCATCTTCTAATTCACCGATTTTGGATTTCACGCTGTCCATAATCTGCTCCAGGTCATTGGCTCGATGTTCTTGGTGTGCCGCTCGGTTCTGTTCTAGCTGAAGTTCACTTCTAATTAAGAGACACAATTCCTTCCCTCAATGTTAAAATAAATCAGATTGTACATGCCATATAACAGATTACTTTCCAAAAATGTCTCTACATTCTTATTTTTTTTTACTTTGTTTTGGTACTGAGAATCAAACATTAGCATAATTAACACTGAGCTGTATCCCAGCCTCAACACTTCTATATTATAACAACAGGTTTGTAGCTGTGCCCTCTGACACCCAATCTAATCTACCTTATAAGAGAAAGTAATAGAAGAAATAGAGGGTACCATTACACATCAATGCTAAGTGCTACTGAAAGTCAACTAAATTTTTACCCATTTACTTGTAAAAATATTTTATGTTTTACATTTAATAAAAATGAAATTTCAGAAGGCTGGAGAGATGGTTCAGCAGTTAAGAGCATTAGCTGCTCTTCCAGAGGACCTACATTCGATTCCCAACACCCACATGGTAGCTCACAATCATTCATAACTCCAGTTCCAGGGAATCTGATACCCTCTTCTGAATTCTGTAGGTTCAGGCACCCACACAGTACACTTATATGCATTGCTGACAGAAACACCCATACATGTAAGAAGTAAAATAAACTGAAAAAAATAAATAAATAAGTACAATGACATTTCAGGATCCTCTTCAGGGAGTTGTGTTTAGAATATACGCAAACAATCCTGGGGCATGCCCACTGTCTTACTTAAGCTGTTGGTTCTTCTCTATGAGCTCCCGTATCATGCTCTGCTGACGTGTTGTTTCTTCTATCAACATTTTCAAATTCTGCCTCATTCTTTGTGATGACTGTTTGTCAAAAACGATGAGATCTACATTGTAATGTATATTATAGAAATGGTAAAAACAAAGAGAAGGTAAAACCATTTTAAGATAAACACTTTTCAAAGAAAAATAAGCTTTGTACCTAACAGTGCGAGAAAAGGGTCTAGTTACCTTTGAGATCGGTTCTTTTGACTAGACACAAAGGTTTGAAGCCATGCGTCATCAGCAGCCCATTTATGCTTTCCCATTCTGCTTCCTCCTGCTATAATCACAGTAGAGCAAAAGGAACAACTTTAAGATGTGAAGAAAAACCTTTAAAATAATTTCCTATATTTTCAGAAAAGAACCTTCCTCCAAAAGATTTTTGATTTTTAGATGTGTGTGTGTGTTTGTCTATACGTAGGTATTAGCACATTAAGTTGAGGTGCAGCAGAAACCAGAAGAAGGTGTCAGTCCCTGGAGTTTGAGGAGGTTGTAAGCCATATGACATGGATGCTGTAAACTGACTAGGATCCTGTGGAAATGGACCAGCAAGCATTCAAAGGGTCTTATAATTTTCTTTTTCAGATAGGGTCTGACTATGTAGCCCTGGCTGGACAGGAACTGGCAATGTAGACCAGGTCAGCCTTGAACTTAAAGAGATGTGATTGCCTGTTTCCCAAGTGCTGGAATGAAAGATGTATGTCATGCCTAGTTTTAATATGGAATTTTATGTATAAATTATAACTTTAAAAGATTTATTGTTTTTACTAAAATCAGCAACAGAAGTATGCAAATGAGTAAATTATTACATTATACAAAATATTCACATGCAGGCCTTCATGGGTAAATTAAAACAAAAACAACAAAACTGGTCATTTCAGTGAAACAGATAAGTAATTGAATAAGATCAGGCCATACTAAAAGTATAAGGAAAAGGGGCTGGCTAAAGAAACCCACCCTGTCCCAGCACTCGGGAGGCAGTCATGAAGATCTCTGTGAGTTCGAGGCCAGTCTCGGCTACCAAGTGAGTTCCAGGACAGGCTCCAAAGCTACACAGAGAAATCCTATCTCGAAAAACCAAAAAAAAAAAAAAAAAAGAAAAAGAAAAGAAAAAAAAAAAAAGAAACCCACCCTGACCCTGCAGCTCAGAACCAGGGAAAGAAACACAGCCTGGGTCTGGGACCTGAGCCAGAGAAATGAACACTTTATCCCCAAACCCAGAACCTAGGAAATATGCCCTGACTCTGAAACCAGTACCAAAGAAACACTCTTGGTCTCTAGAATCAGAGTCAGTGAAAGAAATATGCCCTGGCCTTAGAATTAGTGTCAAAAGGCTAAGAAAGGCCAGTGAAAGAAACACAGTTTGGCTCTGAAATCAGGGTCATCTCTGCCCCTAGCCCACAAAACTGACCAATCCCTGGTTGACTCTGCCCCCAAGAGATCCTATATAAACCACCCTGCCTGGTCAGTTGTGGGTTGTTCTCTCCACCCTGGTAAAGGCAGCCACTCTCCTGGACTCCTCCTTCCCAAATAAATCTCTTCCTCAAAAGAGTTTTGGGTGTGAAGATCTTCATTCACACATTCTTCTGGTGTAGAGAAGATCCTTGCTGAGACATCCCTCAGTGGACAAAACAAGGGAGAGCTGAAAAAGTAACACTTTTCTCCAGAGCCAGAGGAAATTGCTATATTTCTGCAGGGGTTTCCCCTTTTGCAGAGTGAAGCAAAAGCAGCAACATCTTAGGCTGGAGAAGCAGAGCTCTGCTAGGAAGCCCCCTTAAGTGGGGGTTGAACAAAACTCAGCTGCAGCAGCTCTCCTGGAGAGGAGCAGGATTGCTATATCTTGCAGGAAGACCATCGCCCACTACACCAGGTATAGCCTGACTCCTGAACAGTCAGGATACCCTTCCCAGGGCTGAGCTGTCCTAGCAGCTCCAGGCGTGACTCTCCTGAACAGTCAGAATACTTTCCCATCCAGGGCTGAGCTGTCTCATTGCAGCTCCAGCCGTCAGAGCTGTCCTAGCAGCTCAAGGTGTCACCTGACGCCCCAAGTAGTCAGGATACCTTTCCCCCAGAGTTGCAAAACTCACATTTTGGTGCCAAAACTGGGACCAAACCCACAGAGTTGCAACACAGTTACTTATAAAAAGGACACAACTGAAAATTAAAACTAGTCAACTCTGAAACAAGTATCCCTTTAACAATGATGGAAAAAGGAAATCAAGGGTCATGTGAGGGCTGGACTTGGGAAACAGCAGCTTCAGGAATATGGTAGCTTCCAAAGAAGCAGGGCTCTGGGCAGGAAGCACAGGAGAGGCTTTTATGATCTTCTATAGTGAAGCTAAACAAATAGTTCTACATCCAAAAATCACACTGAAAGATTGACCTGTCCAGGTTTCTCTTTAATGCGAACCCAATTGAGATTTTCCAGTTACTCTTGAAGTGACAGATAATGAAATAAAAGAGAGGTTTCTGCAGCTGGATAATATTGGTACATCCTGACAAAAATCAAGATGCTGCTGGTGATGCACAAAAGGCTTTTGAAGCTGTGGACAAAGCTTACACGTGGGCTTACTGCATCAGGAACAGAAGATAGCCCTGAATGTAATTCAGGCAGAAAAGGATACATTGTTAAGAGGCAGGGGTTAAAGGAAGGAAAGCCTACAGATGTAGAGGATGATCCTGAACTGTTCAAACAAGCAGTATACAAACCAACCACGAAACCGTTTGCTGAGCTGGATATTAAAAGAAAAGAGAGATGCCAAGACATGCACAAAGCAGAGGCTGAAGCTCAAGAAAAAGACAAATGAGAAAAGCAGAGATGGTCAAGTAGACAGCTGGTGAAATCTGCAAGCAAATATCAAAGGGAAGAAAACAAAGACTCAGACCTTCCCAAGGCCACTGAAAGTAAAAATGGAGCATGAGTGGTCAACTGGGTCAAGGCCACAGAACTGTTGTTAGCTGTGCCCTTCCTGCTTCAGGGGACTCATTCTTTCCTCCCATTTCCACCAACATAGGATAACATTGGCTTTTTAGTCCATTTTGTTTTCACTACAATTTAATATCAGAGTAATCTTTTTGTGAATTTACAGAAGGAGCTCAGTTGAGCCCTCCCCCCACCCCGGAGTCCTTGCCCACTGAACAAGCATAACTGGAAGGAGCCAACATTGGTGCTGCCTTCTCTTCTCCCATAGCCTGTACCTTAATGTTCTGTACTTCACTGGATTGTGATAGTTAGAAATTTCATGGATAGTTCCTGGAAATCATCTTGCTTACTGTGAATTCAGACAAGCCTGGGCCACTTCAGGAAGTCCCTCTTCTTGCTTCTGAAGGTGCCATCCTCAAAGTCCCAGAGCAGGCAAAGAAGGCATTTGTAAACACAGCATACAGTCACTCAATGCCCTCAAGCCTTGTGGTATTTGATATATGTCTTCTGTTGACTGACCAACAATTATGATCAATAACAGCAGTCCAGGGAGAACCCTGAACAGCCACACCTAGGCCTCCAGTCCCTTAATCACCATGCCCCCAGAGGAGCCACAGCTGCCACAGCCTGCCCCAATCACCATCACCTCAACCCTGAAGAGCAAGTCAGAGAGACCCAGCAGCCACTTCTGCCTCTGCACCCTCAGACACCAAGCTGGGCACCATAGGCAGCTGTGCATGCATCAACAAGGGGGAAAAGGGCACTGGGATGGCAAATCAGTTCACTTTAAGAAATGGATATAGAGCTGGGCGGTGGTACCAGGCACAAGCCTTTAATCCCAGCACTTGAGAGGCAGGGCCAGGCGGATCTCTGTGAGTTCGAGGCCAGCCTGGTCTACAGAGCAAGATCCAGGATAGGCACCAAAACTACACAGAGAAACCCTGTCTCAAAAAAAACAACAAAACAAAAAACAAAAAAAAAAGAAAGAAAGAAATGGATATAGTTTCATCAACAGGAATAATACACCAAAGATGATGTGTGTGCCCCACAGACTGCCATAAAGAAGAACAACAATCCCAAAAAGAACCTTGAAGAAGTGTTGAAAGTAGAGACTCAAGTTTGATATTGTTAAAGGAAAGGGTGGGGAAGCAATAGATGTTACAGACCTCTTGTGGGCCACAAGAATATAATAGAGACTCAGCTGGATATTAAAGCTATACCTAGAAATTTCAAGGTATTTTTCTAGAGGCAAGCCATTTATTATGGAATATTTTGGTGTTATCCAGTTTTTAATATTTCAGCTGTCTTCTGCTATGAAATTCTTGTGTGCCCAAATACTATACACCATTTGGCAAACAGCTAAGCTTCTCAGACCTGCTGAACTTCTAGGTAACTAACTCCCCTGATGAGCCTAGGAGACAAGCAGGCTGTACATGCATAGCTTTGCTTCTTGTGCAAATGAAGTTCATACCATCCCTTGCCTTCAAGCCTAGTGGCATTCCAAGGCAATTGACTGAGGACAATAGGGCTTTTTGCATAACCAGGTACGGTAAGGACTAGAGCAGAATTCCAGAAGAGACACAGAACCCTGTGGCCAGAGAGAGGAGGAGAAGAAGACAGAGGTTCTGTAGAGGATAAAACAGATCTCTTGGAGAGTTTATCAGGGTCAGGGGTAAGGAGCCAGGAAGGGTAGATGGAGGATGAAGGAGCAGAGGACGAAGATCAGTTCAAAAGCATAGGAGCTTACTAAGAATGAGGACAGGAAAACTGAGTAGAGAGAGGAGCTGAATGTGAGGACAGGGCTGAAGCTGTATAGATAGAATTTTGCCTTAGAGGAATAAAGTTAATGGACAAAAGAGCATAGTGTACGTAGATTCCTTTCCCTCAGATACCCCACGCTGTATGTAGGGTCTTTCCCAGGACTCTGGGAGGAATTTTCTCAGGGCAGGAACTTGGGAAAATTCCATTATCCTTACAGGCCCTATGGAGTTCCAGTTCAAGACAGGAAGTAACCATTATAGATTATATCTACCTCATGGTGGTCCTCCATGCAATTACCAGAACAATGAGATTTTGGGAAAGGAGGGATCAGAAAGTACAACAACTCAGGCCCTACCCAGGTAAAGGTTCCTACCTCATTACACAAGATCCTATGGTTGTCAACCACAGTATTCCAAAACTCTCCTGTGCAGGAAAAAAGTGAGGGAGGTTGTTGACACTTAGGGTGCAGGAGAGAAAGACAGACCAGTAAGACTATGTATGGTTATAGACCATGATTCTACAGGGGCTCTCTTCACCAAAGACAGCATGGAAGAAGGCAACAAAGACAAGGGAAATCAAAGAAATGAGACCTAATGCCAATGGTCACTTCAACATAGGTATCACACACAGCAACTTCAACTATGCATGCAGATGCCCAAAGAACTCTGAACCATAACAGCACAGAGATAAAAGCAGCTGGTGCGTCAGCTGAGAATCTGTCCACTCCTGGGGCTGAGCAGAGTAAACACTGGCTTACCATCTCTGTCATCATCTGGCTTAGACACCCAACAAGATGAATAGGAAATTCCAGAAACAAGAGCAAACAAGAGACTGAAACTGAAGATCTTAACTGCTTGCTTTTTGCCCATTGACCAGGTACCCAAGAACTATTCAGTGGCAATACAATATGGAGCTCTATTATTTTAACATAAAGATATCTTCTTTTTTGGTATGTTTATGGGTGTTTTGCCTGCATGTATATCTGTGTCTGATGCCTGAAGAGGCCAGAAGAGGGTATCGACTTCCCTGGAACTGGAGTTACAAACTGCAGTGAGCACCATATGGGCAGTGACTTTTTTTACAGTCTGGTTTTACTAATACATCTTTAAAGGTTTTTTTTTTTCTTTAAGACTTGATTATTATTTTTACTTTGTGTATGTGTGTGCTTGAATAAGTTTTATGTAAACCATATGAACAAGGAGCCAAGAGAGCACTGGATGCCCTGGAACTGCAGTGACAGGCAGTTGTGAGCAACCTGATGTAGTGCTGGACTGAACCAGGGTCCTCTCCAAGAGCAGCAAGCACTCATAACCACTGAGCCATTCTTCCAGCTCCACCTTTAAAGGTTTTAAAGTTGTTTCATTTCTGTTCAAGTTCGAATTGTTAAGAATTTCATTTTTTTTAGTGGGGCATGGTGGCACACACCTTTAATCCCAGCACTCAAGACAGGGATAGGCAGATCTCTGTGAGTTCAAGCCTGGTCTACAGGGTGATTTCCAAAACAGCCAGAGCTACATACAGAAACCTTGTCTCAAAAAAGAAAAAAAAAATTTTCAAAAGTAAATAAACTATAAACTTCAAATACCAGTTAATAAATTCTTAAATAATTTTTTAAAAGAACTTACCAACTGCTCTGCATGGTAGCATACACCTTTGATACCAGCACTCAAGAGGCAAGAAGCAGAAAGTTCTTTTTGAGTTCAAGGCCAACTTGGACTATATAGTCAAAGACACTCTTTGAGTGAGTCTCTTAAAAGGGAGGGGGGCAAGAGTGAGGGAGCCTGGAGAGATTGCTCAGTGTTTAAAACCACTTACAGCTCCTACAGAGGACCCAGGTTCAGTTCCCAGCACCACATGGAAGATCACAACCACCTGTAATTTCAGTTCCAAGGGATCCAATGCCTCTTCTGACCTTACCTCTACAGGCTCCTGCACATACATATGTACTCAGGCACACACACATACACTATTTTTTTAAAAGAATTTAACTGAAAAACTGGAATAAATTACCCTGATGATGGCTTCCTAGCATGATGACTCACAGCCAAAGACATCTTTCCTTATGACTTATACTCCCCTCCCCTTCTTTTCTCTTATACACAATTTTTCTCTCACTTATTCTTTTTTTTTTTTTTTTATTTATTTATTATGTATACAGTGTTCTGTCTGCACATATCCCTGCAGGCCAGAAGAGGGCGCCAGATCTCATTACAGATGGTTGTGAGCCACCATGTGGTTGCTGGGAATTGAATTCAGGACCTTTGGAAGAGCAAGCAGTGCTCTTAACCTCTGAGCCATCTCTCCAGCCCCGACTCTCTCACTTATTCTTAAGGTTTCTGATCACACAGCTGAACTACTTTTGTGGATGAAGGACTAAAATTATCACCGATATCCAAAATATATATATATTACATTACTGTGTGGGTATCTCAAAGAATGCCTGTCCACTAAACTTATTAAAAACAAAGGCTCTAGCCTTAATATGGTCACATATTTCATATGATCAAACAATACACATTGTTATCTGATTCCTCTGGTGTTTTGTATGAACCTGAGTATGTACATAAGTGAACGTCAGAGGAAGACATTAAATGTCTTTCTCTATCACTTTCTACCATAGGTCTTGCACTAAACTTTGAACTAGGCTGGTGGCCAGCAAACCCTGGCAATCTTCCTAGCTCTATACCCATCTGCCACCCACCACCTGTGCTGGCACCATAGAAATGACCATACTGTTGTGGGATATTTGTACACTGTGTGAGAATGTATTGCTGTGACTAGTGTAATAAAGAGCTAAACAGCCAATAGCTAGGCAGGAGGTATAGGCAGGACTTCCAGGCATAGAGAGAACTCTGGGAAGAAGAAGGCAGAGTCACCAGCCAGACATGGAGGAAGCAGCATGGGCAGTATGGAAAGATGAGGTAACGAGACACACGGCAACAAAGATTAAATGGGTTAATTTAAGTTATAAGAGCCGGTGGGGCAAGCTTAAGCTAAGATCAAGCTTTCACAATTAATAAGTCTCCATGTCATTATTTGTGAGCTGGTAGCACAAAGAAAGATCTGACTACACCATACCATGACCACACTATACCTTGACCACACTGTACAGGGTTCTGGAGATTTAAATGAAGCTCCTCATGCTCACACAACCAACAGTCTTACTTACTTAACCATCTTCCAGGCTCTAGCTTGTATCTTAAGAAGAAAGTGTTTATACATACTGAAAATAGGGACCTTGAGAGACAGCTCAGTGGTTAAGAGCACATACTGCTTTTAAAGAAGACCTCAGTTCTATATCCAGGACCCACGCCAAGGTGCCTCATAACTACCTGTAACTCCAGCTCCAGAGGTGATTCGATGCCTCTGGCCTCCACAGAAACCACATACATACTTCCCCCATGCCCCTATATAATCAGGACAATAAAAATAAGTAGGTGACAGTTGTGTAGATTGGTCTGTTTGTAGGGATCTGTCTCTGGCACTTGAGCTGGCTTTTTAGAACCTGTTCCCTATGGTGGGATGTCTCGCTCAATCTTAATGCAGTGGGGAGGAGCTTGGTCCTGCCTCAACTTGATATGACATGCTTTGTTGACTCTCATGGGAGGCCTTACCTTTTCTGGGCAGTGGATTGGGGGAGGGGAGTAGGAAGGAGGTGGGGGGGAGGGAACAGGAGGAGAGGTTGTTATGTAAAATGCATAAAAAAATTAATAAAAAATTTCAGAAAAAAATAAATCTTAAAAATAATAAATAATAAAAATGCTGGAAATGGCATTTCCCAAAAAGTGTACTGGCAATACTAGTAGAATAAAAAGTTCAAACTACGGTTGAACACGGAGGAAAATGCTATATGTCAAATCTTCCTGGAGACTGATATAATTGAGGGAGCTAAAGAAAGAAAGAGACTGTACGGAGCCGGGCGGTCGTGGCGCACACCTTTAATCCCAGCACTCGGGAGGCAGAGCCAGGCGGATCTCTGTGAGTTCGAGGCCAGCCTGGGCTACCAAGTGAGTTCCAGGAAAGGCGCAAAGCTACACAGAGAAACCCTGTCTCGGGGGGAAAAAAAAGATACTGGACAATCTTTAATCCAGACTTCTTCAGTTATTTATCCAATCTTAAAAAAATTCATATTTAATTACACATACTTGTGTGTGTGTGTTTGGGGATGGGGTAGAGTGAGGGATAGCATGTTCAAGTGAGTGCAGGTACCTGCAGAGGCCAGAAGAGGGTGTTGAATTCCTTGGAGCTGGAGTTAGGAGCTACATGATGTGGGTGCTTGTACTTGAACTCAGTTCCTCTAAGAAGAGCAGTATGCCCTTCTTAACCATTGAGCCATCTGATGATCCCACCAAACAATCTTTTTAAAGTCAGAATTTCGGGCCAGCAAGAAGTTCAGTGAGTAAAGACGCTTGTCATCAAGCCTGACAATCCAAGTTTGGTCCCAAGATTCACATGGTAGAAGAAGAAAATCTTAACTCCTGCAAGGTTTCCTCTGACCTCCACATGTACACCACATTCAAAAATAAATAAGTGCGGAAAAAAAAACCATGTCAGAATTTTCTATTGGTACACCTAGCATTCTTTTGGCATATACCTTGAGAAACAGTGCCCTAAAATATTTTAAGCTTACTTGTTTTTCAATCAGGAGTCTGTTTGATAATGGACTGGAGTCCTGGGCTTTAGAGGCTGCTGGAGGCATTGTTTCTTTTGTAGAACCCAAAGAAGAGGTCGGCAATAAAAAAATTTGAGTTCCCTAAGGGAAAGAGAAAAAGTGCAACAGAAGTTAAAGAGGTCTGGTGTAGTGGTAGTCATTCCAGCTTTGATCTGGAAGTTCCAAGCCCCATTATGGCTTCGGTAACTGTCACGCCTACAAGGCGGAGCTGAGAGAGGACCCTGAAGACCCGAGATCCGGATGCGCCGCCCTCTCTTAGTTCCTGGACCCTGGACACTAGAGGTAGACCGAGTAGAGTTCTCCAGAGAACACTGCCAGACTGCACTACACCTTTCCCAGACCCTGTAACCTATCCCTTCACTTGTAAGCTACCTCACAAAATAAACCTCCCTTTTAACTATGTGGAGTGGCCTTAATAATTTCACCAATAGTCTGGGGATGTAGCTCAGTTGGTAGAGTGCCTGTTTATCACACATACAGTGCTGGGTTCATTCAGCAAATCTGCATAAAACTAGAGTAGGGGTGCATGCCTATAATCCCAGGACGTGGGAGGTGGAGGCAGGAGGAGCAGAACTTCCAAGACATTCTTAACTACAAAGTTAAAGGAAATTATATGTAGGGCCACACTCTCTTAGACAAACCCACACCCATGTTCTCAGGTATATCTTTTCCCTGAGAGCCTCTTTCCTTCTTAATCCTCGTGCTTACACTCTATATTTACTGGGTGTGGTGCCACACTTTAATCCCAGCACTTAGGAGGCAGAGACAGGTAGATCTGAGTTCAAGGCCTTTCTGGTCCACATAGTGAATTCCAGGACAACTAGGGCAATGTAGAAACCTGTCGCAAAACAAATAATATCCACACTTAAATATATTTAAAAGAATCCACAGCCAGGTAGTGATGGTGTACGTCCTTAGTCCAAACACTTGGGAGGCAGAGGCAGGTGGATCTCCAAGTTCCAGGCCAGCCTGGTCTACAAAGTGAGTTCCAGGACAGCCAGGGCTATTCAGAGAAACCCTGTCTCAAAAAAAAAAAAAAGAAAGAAAAAAGAACAAAGAAAAAGAAAAAAAAAAATCCACTATTTTTACAGAGCAAATTAGGCTATCCTTACGTTAAAATTTACTTCATAGACAGTATGCTTGTACAAGATTTATTTGAATAAATCCTATCTTACACTTTTCTCTAGAATTCAGCATTCTAGTTTTTCATATAAAGAATAAGAGAAATCACACACACACACACACACAAACACACACACACACACATGAATGACAGGGTATCTGTATATTGTCCTGGCTGTCTGGAATTTGCTATGTAGACCAGGCTGGCCTTGAACTCAGAGATCCACCTGCCTCAGCATCCCTAGTGCTGGGATTACGGGCATGTGCCACCATGCCTAGTCCAAGATATTTTGAAAAGATTGTGAAGCTCTTGAACTGTTATCATTCACTGGGCTACAAGGACAGACTAGGATCACTTCATTAGGCAGTCTTTATTTCTAAGTAGATCAGAAAACAGGAACAAGAGGTTCTGTTTGGCCCATAAAAAAAACAAAAACAAAAACAAAAAACAAAGCTCATAGTCTACTTTATCATCACTCTTCTAAGACTACCATTCTGGGGGGAAAAAAGAATTCCTTGATTTCTTTAATACACAGACAAAACTTTCCAATGGCAAAAGAAAAATCATATTCATTAGCATCATAGAATCTAGAAATTGCTTAACTTAGAACTTCTAACTGTTCCTAGCTAGCAGGAAGTATGAAGGGAAAAATGACCAGGTCAGGAAAGATCTCTGAGCAGGCACAGTAATTATAAGCAGCATCAAATCAACCATACATGCCAAGGAGGGAGAAGGTAGTGATGCTGTCACTACTAGAATTATTCCAGGTTCCCAGATGATATGTAAACCAGGCACTATAGGTCTGCTGAGAAACTTGTCCTTGAAAAGAAGTGGGCTAGAAATGTAGCTAGCTTTGTCTTGACCTCAACTCACCTGGCTAGGGGTAGTGAGGAAATAAAGGATAGACACACAGCTATGCATACAATGAAGCTAGGATCTGGTGGGATTCTCTAGTACTACCACCACAACCTGGAACCTCAGAGCATTTATTAGGTACAGCACAGGGGGAAGGGTTAGCTGTAGGTAAGTGGTTTCAGCCTACAAGGATACAGGAGGATGCCCCAGTTGCTAGTCATTGCACACTGATTACTCTTTCATAATCAAGCATTACAACTCCTAACGGCCAAAGAAAGCTTTGCCACCCTCTTTAGCCTGACCCACATGGGTAACAGAGGTACCTATTTCCCATGGTCATTTGGTCTCCAAGTCCTCAACAAGCTTTGCTTATGTCAAAACACACTTTCACTCAGGGTTTCAGTCACTCAGGGGCTTCACTCAATACCTGTCTAGCACAGACAAAGCCTTGGGTTGTGTCCCTAGCACTGCGTTAAGTGGGGTGTAGCATGGTAAAAGCCTATAATCCCAGCACTCAGAAGGTACAGGCAGGAGAAACAGTTTAGGGTCAGCTACATAGCAAGATCAAAGCCCACTTTGGCCAACAAGATATCCTGTCTTTAAAAAAAAAAAGGGTGGTGGTGGGGGGAAGAGATTAAAAGATACAATAAAACAAAAACCAGAAGCTTTTCTTCTATAGGCATTCAATAAAACTCAAGAGCTGAGGAAACTTAAAGTTGTGACTTATAAGAGTTTAACTCTCAGGGTAAGGGTGAACCAAGAAGCAAGCTCTCCACTAACCTAGACCCTGGCTTCCCTCTTCTAGATTGTCCAGTCCCTTGAGATAGCCTGAATTAATAGTACTTCCAGGCACTTGGCAGAAGTAAATGAGATCCTCCAAAGTTGAAGACAAATTAAGGAGGATGACCAAATCGTAGCTTGAGTACTTGTCTTCTACCTCTTAAAAATGTACACTACTTTCGGATTTAAATCATAGCATTAATAAGCATTTGTGGTCGTTTGAATGTAATTGGCCCCCATAATCTCATGGAGAGTGGCTTTGTTGGAGGAAGTATGTCACTGTGCGGGTACACTTTAAAGTCTCATATATGCCCAAGTCACATCCAGTGCCTCAGACCACTACCTGTTGCCTACAAGATGTAGGACTCTCAGTTACAGCTATAACACCCATGTCTGTCTGCACTCTGCCATGCCCACCATGATGATAATGGACTGAACTTCTGAACTGTAAGCGAGCCCCCTCAGTTAAATTTTTTCCTTTATAAGAGTTGCCGTGGTCACAGTGTCTCTTCACAGCAACAGAAACCCTAAGATAAAAGTTGTTAACAAGGACTGGGGTATTGCTGTGATAGGTTGTACCATGTATTTTGTTTGGAGGAATTTAGACTTTGGTACTTTGGGTTAGAGAAGCTTTAAGCACTGCTTAATGGGCCACACTATTAGGAGCATGGAAGACAGTGGTGTTGAATGTGATTTGATGAACTGTGAGGACCTTGCTCAAGAGGTTACAGAGAAGAAGAATATTAATATGTGGCCTAGAGATCATTCTTGTGAGATTTTGTAAGGAATGTGGCTGCTTTCTGCCCTTGTCTGAAGAGCCTGCCTGAGGTTAAAGTGAAGAGTTTTGGATAAATTCCATTAGCAGAGGAAATCTCAAAACAGCCTAGTATAGACTCTGTCATGTGGTAATAAGTGTTAACCTGGGTTCAATTCCCAGCACCACATGGCAGCTAATAATTGTCTGTAATTCCAAGATCTGACACCCTCACACATATGTGCAGGCAAAATACCAATACACATAAATTTTTAAAAAATCCTTAAACAAATAAAAAGAAAGAAATGGAATAAAGGGAGTGGGGACCACAGAGCAAGATCCCACCTATAAGTTTCCAACTTGTGAAAAGGAATTAAAGGAAAACTTAGAGCTGGGTGTGGTGGTACACACCTTTAATCTCAGCACTCTGCTCAAAGAGAGGTCTCTGAGTTCCAGGCCAGCTGGTCTACAGAGCAAGTTTCAGGAGCCAAGCTTAGGTAATAAAAGACAAAGTTGGTGAAGATGTAATTGAACAAGGGGACCATGTTCCAGCTCCACTAAGCAGCAGAACTTGGCAGCTCACGTGGTTCTGGAGTCAAGGATAGAAGAAAGGGGCTATGGGATTTGCCCATGTGACTAAGGAAAGCCATGGAAGCCAGGCATATGTCAGGGTGTTCCTGAATGGAGGCCTAGAAGCCATTACATGAAACTGTGAAGTTGAAGTCTGGATTCCCTCCGAGACCCCAAGATGTTGGAGATGCCAGAGCTAAGGGATATCTGCCCAGGAAAGTTGCTAACAAGGAGTGGATCCAGCCCAAGGGAAAGAAGTGTGTTGCAGTAAAGAAAGCTGAAAGGAGTTGGAGATCTGAAGAGTGTTTTGACATCAGACATGGAGATGCAGAGTTTGAAGTTTGCCCAGCTGGTTTTCATTCTTGGTTTGGTCCAGTATTTCCTCACTATGTTCCCTTCCCTACATTTTGGAATGGTAATGCATATCCTGTGCCATTATATGTTGGAAGTATGTGATGTGTGTTGCAGGATATTTGATCACACTATGAACCTCGAATTACATTATTTACTAGAAAAACCCGTTTCCAGTTGTGTGGTTCAGCCCTAGCACATACCTTTAATCCAAGAGTTTTCTGCTTGAATATTGTAAACAGGATTAAATAAAGTCAACCATAGGTCAAGAGGTGGAGCAAGAAACCAGCTGGCAGGAAGTGAATATAGGATGATTAAGAAAAAAACCATAGAGAGTAAGAGGGAGTCAGGAGAACAGATAGACTCATAGGAAGTAGAAGGGAGGGACATTGAGTTGGGAGAGTTTGGTATGAGACAGTTTTAGGAGGAGGTGGCTTTGGGGATGTCAGCTGAGGAGGAAGGTTAGCTGGGTGCTTCGTCTGTCTCTCTAAGCTGGCAGGCTTTGACCCTAGCATCTGGCTCCCAAGTCCTTACTGAAAAAAATCGAACAATTGAGATTTTTGTTAAAAAACAACAATTGGTACCCAACATGAGGCACAACCACACAAATGAGAAACCACACCAGCTGCAGACAAACTGAGAGGCCATAAGATTTGGTAAGACATCTGGGAAGTCCTCAAGGAGAGAGTTAAATAACATTAAAAGGAAAAATCTTTCCCACGTTAAGGGTGAGAAATACCATAAGACAGGTTGTTAGGACCCTGTATAGTGCTACTTTAGATGGCTTGAAAACAGAAGCAGAAAATGAAAAGATAAATGACTTAACTGAGATTGAGATAATACCAATTATAATTACTATCAGTCTAGTACTTCATATTTTATCCTTAATAGCCATAGTGGGTTTTGTGCCAAATATGAAAAGTGGTTTAATAATTGTTCCAAATATGAAAAGTGGACTGATTTAAAAAAAAGACTTATAAATGATGGGGCTTGAGAGATGGCTCAGAGGTTAAGAGCACTGACTGCTCTTCCAAAGGACCTGGGTTCAATTCCTAGCACCCACATGGCAGCTCACAACTGTAACTCCAGTTCCAGAGGACTTGAAACCCTCACACAGACATACATGCAGGCAAAATACCAATGCACATAAAAATAAAAATACTTATAAATGAAAATAAGAAAAATACTGAGAGACAGAGGAATTTAGACAAGAACCTACTGTACCACCACATGATGAAACTGTAGAGGGATGCTGCCCAAGGTTATTTATGGTGCTATTTTATTTGTGCTGAAATGTAATTTTATTTGTATGTTAATAAATAAAGTTGCCTGGAGATCAGAGGTCAAAGCAAGCCATAAGCTGAGTCAGGTAGTGATAGCACATGCCCTTAACCCGATCACATGGCAGGCAGAGTCTCTGTGGGGTCAAGGACACAGCCAAGTGTGGTGACACGAACCTTTAATCCCAGTACCAACCATAGAGACCTGGAGGTCTGTATAGACAGGCAGTGACTAGGAAGTCATGTGGTTGGGTTTAGAGCCAATGAGAAGGCAGAACAGAAAGACAATAAAAAGACAAATCAGACAGGAAGAAGCTCTCTCTTGGGGGAAGCTACTGCTGATGGTAAGCTAAAGTTAGCTGTGGCTATTGCTCTGATCTCTTTGGCTATTTCCTCTGTATTTGGCTCTGTGTTTCTTATTTAATAACACTGTTTAGAATTTCATCTACAGTTGTTAGAAAATCAAACTTAGTTTATCCAGTTACTATACAAGAACTACCAGCAGACATCAGGTACCCCCAAGGTCATTAAGAAATTAAATGGAATCCTATAGAAATGTTAGATTTGAGGAGATTTAAGAAAGCAGTCATTTCATATGGTATACATTAACCCTATGTGAAGCAGATATTAAATTCATGGACAACTCAGAACAGAATTATCCCCCAAGACTGGAAAGATCTAGCAACAGCAATTTTGGAGGCTGGTCCTCAGTTACAATGGCAAACATGATGAAAAGAGGAACCTAGGGCCATAGAACAATGAAATAGGGCTAGAGGTATTAGTATTTTCCAAGATCAGTTTCTAAGTGAAGGCCAATATGCTGAGTTACAAAGGCAGCTTGAATTTGATAATCACACCTTGGTGCTATGCCATTTGGCAGCTTTAAATGCTTGAGACAAGGTTAAAGAATTAGGAAAGAGATTTTAGGAAGTATGTCACTGTGGGGGTGAGCTTTGAGGTCTCATGTATGCCCAAGGCATGCCCAGTGCCTCAGATCACTTCCTGTTGCCTACAAGACACAGGACTCTCAGCTACAGCACCATGTCTGCCTGCACTCTGCCATGTCCCACCATGAGGATAATGAACTGAACCTTTGAACTGTAAGCCAGCCATCCCAATTAAATGTTTTCCTTTATAAGAGTTGCCATGGATATGGTATCTCTTCACAGCAATAGAAACCCTAAAACAGCATCCTTACCAAGAAGTCACAAGTACCATTTCATTCTAATGAATAAAAGTCTTTCTATAACCAAACACAATGGGTTCACATCTTTCTGAGTGCAAAGCCAAAATAGGTACAGCCAGGACATAAAAGAATAGAGAAAAAGTTATTACCTACAACAGGCAAAGAGATTATGGGAGTCACTGTCAAAGCAATATCTTTCTCAAACAAAGGGACCTTGTGGATTTTAGTCATGGGGGACTATAGATACTCACATAGGGGTTGGCCCATTCCTCAATGTGCTCAGTTAAGAACATATTGCTGGGGCTAGAGAGATGGCTCAGCAGTCAGAGTACTTGCTGTTCTTCCAGGGGAACTGAGGCAGCTCACAACTACCTGTAACTGCAGCTTCAAGGAATCCAACATCCTCTTTTGGCCTAGAGCTCAGTGGCTAAGAATGTTTGTTGCTCTTCCAAAGGACCCAAGTTCAGTTCCAAGAAACCCACCCCAGAGCACATAGCTGTTTTTAAAAGCAATTTGTCAATGGGCATGACAGTGTACACCTTTAATCCCAGCACTTGGGAAGCAGAGGCAGGCAGATCTCTGAGTTTGAGGCTAGCCTGGTCTGCTTAGCAAGTTCTAGGCCAGCTAAGGATACACAGTGAGACCATTTCTCAAAAAAATAAGAGAGAGGGGGGTTATTTTTACCCACAGTTCAAGGTGTAATCCATTATGGCAGGAAGTCAAAAGGCAGAAGAAGCTTAAAGCAACTGGTCCCATGGAATCCATAATCAGAAAATAGGACCGAATGTAAACATGTTACTCAGCTCCCTTCCTCCACTTATATGATGCAGTATTATACCCAGGGAGTGATGCCACCCAGCTCGGGTGGGCTTCCCACCACAATTAACATAATTAAGATAATTCCCCACAGGCGTACCAGAAGCCAGTCTCCCAAGTGATTCTAGATTCTGCCAAGTTAACAGCACTAACCATCAAAATCGGTAAAATTACAGTCCATATCCAAACAAGCCAGTCCCATCTTCTAGCTACATAAACAAGCCATTTTCCACCATTTCCAGGTCAGTCAGGAGGCTTCTCTCCTATGAGCTAACATCACCCCCAAGCCTCATGTTGCAATATTAAGCTCAATAAAGTCTTTTCTCAAATGATTTTTTGCGTTCTTGTAGACTTTAATCATGGGAAGACCTGATTAAACTGGCTGCACAAAGATGAGACAAAATCTCCAAGCTTCTAGCTCTGGCCGAGACAGCTGAAAAGTTTCTGAAAGCTACCAAGAGCTAAGACAACAGGAGTCAGTGAAAAATTCCACTGAGCCACTGCAAGCCAAGGACATGATACCAGAACTACTACACAAGAAAGCAGCCGAAGAGTTCCAGAGAAGAAGCAAGAGCAGAAAGAGCAAGATACAAAAACCACAAAAGACAATGGTGTATTATAAAAGCAAGAGTGTCAAAGTCAAGAGACTATGAAGAACTGAAGGCAGGAGCTGAGGCTATGAGGACTTCAAGGTCCAGGTACTGGGAGTGTTCAAGAGCACAGGTTAAGAGCCACAGCTCAAGAGCTATAATGGTAGCTGTTTGGTGTTGGGATTCTGAGGCTTTGAAAGCTTGGAGCCTTAAGCCTCTAGTCCTCAAGGCTTAGAGTCCAGGGCTCAAACTCAAGGCTATCAACACTGAGGAAACTGCTTCTTACCTATCCAAGGTTTCTATATAAGCAAAAGAGCTCCCATCCAGCCACTTGAGACAGGTTTGCCAAATCATAACAGCAAAAAAAAAAAAAAACAACAAAAAAAAAAATGTTAAAGCAATACTAACCAAAAGAAAGCTAGCATATAACCAGACTGCCTGGGGATTCTGTCACACAACCAGGGAATACTAATCCCTCTGTGCCTTGATTTCTTCATAGAAGAAGTGGAGGAGGTGGAGGAGGAGGAAAGGTAGCTTACAAAAGTCTTGCAGAGATTAGAAGACTAGATACACGAAAAACATTGAGTAGTGCTCACTCATCACAGCAGGACAGAGTCGATGTCTACTGAACTTCTTTGAACTTCCGTTTTCTTACTGACTTTCAACTATGAATATTACTTGGCAGAATTATCAGGTAGTCAGAAGGAAAAAATAAAAAAACATGTAACTTATCATCTAGCATAATATCCAATAAATTTTGTTTGCTATCTCCCTGAATGGGAAAAAAAAAAAAATCTAGAGTCATCCATTATACTAGCCATACCTCAGTCATAGTGATTCCTCTTGCAGTTTACACCTGGTCATCCAAGTTGATCTCAATAAAATGGTCACCCAGTGAGTCACATGTCCGAAACTGGATCTTGATCTACGTTTCAAAAAGATACAAGCCTTAAAATATTCAGCCTGTCACTAAAAATGATCCTATGTATTAACAAGGCAGGTATCCATGGTACAGACAGCCATGGAACCAAAGACTAAAAACACCGCAAAAACAAGAATGGTGCAAAGTCCTTCATCAAATTTCTACCCTTTTGTTTTTCTCTTAGCCTTCCCCCCACTGCTTTGTTGAAACGTGTGCTGGATATCCAAATCTATCATTCTGATTCGTGGCTTCAAGTGTAGTTATTCTTACTTGCAAGTGTACTGAGAACACCAAGTAAGAGCAGGAAGTGCAGTACTTCTGCCCCTGTGATCAAGCTTTCCCCCAGTATTCTGAGTTCTGTAACTGTTCTTAGTCACACTGAAATCTGTAAGCGTTCTCAGGAGCACATTTCAAATTACTACCACAAATTAACCAAAGCCTTGAAAGTATTACCTATTAATGCAAATATGCCAATAATTTACAGTAGTCTTTTCCCCACCTCAGGCTATGAACAGGACACAGATTTGAAACCCTGAAATCTCAGAAAGAAAAACTCATCCTAGGACCAAGGCTAGGCTACACAGTATAAGACCTTATCCCAAGAAGAAAAAGAAGCCAGGCATGGCAGCAGACACCTTTAATCCCAGCACACAGGAGGCAGAGGCAAGTGGATCTCTGTGAGTTCGAGGCCAGCCTGGTCTACACAGTGAGTTTCAGGACAGACAGGGCTTATATAGAGAGACCCTGTCTCAAAAAAAAAAAAAAGGAAAGAAAGAAAAGGGGGGCTAGAAGAATAGCCCAGTGGCTAAGAGCATGTACTCTCATCCAGAGGACCAGAATTCAATTCCCTGCACCCTTATCATGTGGCTCACAATCACCTGTAACTCCAGCTCCAGGAGATCCAACTCCTCTGTTCTCCATGGGCATCTGCACATATGCACACACACATAATCAAAAATGATACAAATTTTTAGTGGGTTATGGTGGTTCACGACTTGAATCCTAGTACTCACAAGGCAAATCCTGGTGGGCTTCTGTGAATTTGAGGCCAAACTGGTCTACAAAGTGAATTCCAGGCTACATGGTGAGACCTTGTCTCAAGAGGAAGAAAAAGACAGAAGGGGGAAAGAAAAAAAGAAAGGGGGTGGAGGAAGAGAAGAGAGAAAAAGAATAAAGATAAAGGAAAAAGAAAAACGAGGGAAAAAAACCTGAAAAACTGGAGGTATGTATCTGTTTTTTGAGACAGGGCCTTACTATTCAGCCATGGCTGACCTGGAACTCACTAAGAAGCCTAGACCAGTTTTGAATTCAAGAATCCACTGTTCTCAGCCCCCCAAGCACTGGGATTACAAGTATGAGTCATCATGTAGGGGGAAAGTATATATTTTGGCACAGTTCATGCTTCCCAACAGTTCATGAAATTGCCCTGTAGGCATCTGGAGATCTGTTAAAATACAGCATACATTAAAAATTTATAGCCAGGCAGTGGTTGTGCACACTTGGGAGGCAGAAGCAGGCAGATCTCGGGGAGTTTGAGGCCAGCCTGGTCTAGAAAGCTAGTTCCAAGACAGGCAAGGCTACATAAAGAAACCCTGTCTCAAAAAAAACTTTACATACGCGCGCGCGCACACACACACAATTAGCTGAGTGTGGTGGCGTTTAGCAGTAATCCCAGCAATTCAGATCGAAGTGGGAGAATCAGGAGTTCAAGCCTGGCCTGCATGAGACCTTGCACAAAAATTAAAGAGAAAATAACTCTATTCCAATAATATTGCAACTTGCTTTTTACTGTTCTGAAATTTAAAAGGGAGTTAGGCCTGGAGATCATCTCAGTCAGATCATTCCATCCCAGATGACAAGAAAGGCCAGAATTGGCCTGTCCTGGGCTGAGGCAAAAACCGCCTGCTACCCTGCCTCATCAACACAGCAAGCAGTACGAAGTCTCATCAAATTCCTTTCCCAAGGGAAGTTGGGGAAGCAGGTGTATTGAACAATAGAGTAAAAAAAAAAAAAAAAAAAAGTCCAATAAATGCAGAAGGTTGAAACCAACGCCTGCAGCGCTGAAAGGTATGATTACAAATAAGGGGGCAGGCTAGAGAGACAGCCAGTGGGTAAAGGCGCTTGCCACAAGAAAGCTTGAGACACAATCCCCAGAATCCCCAGAAATGAGAATTCTGTAATCGCAGCACTCCCGTGGCCAGATGGAAGGAGGATTTAACTGCAGCTCTCCTCGCTAGTCCCGGGTAGGACGCAGAAAAACAAAAGACCTTGTCCCAAACAAGGTGGAAGGCTAGGACCTACACCTGAGGGTGTCCTCTGTTCTCTACGCCCGAGTCGTGGCGGGAACGCACAAATTGGCTTGTGTGGATGGCAATGGGAATCTGGATTAGGCTTTGTGGTATCTTTCACATAAAGGCGGAGTTCCCCCTGAATCTGTAATGCGTCTGACAGGAGGAGGGGTACTCACATAAAGGCGGAGTTCCCCCTGAATTTGTAATGCGTCTGACAGGAGGAGGGGTACTCACCTACCCTTGCTCGGCGGTCTCGCACTTTGCTCCAAATCGCTATCACCTGACAGCGCGGCAAAGCGAGCGGGAGCGAATCAGCCCCGAGGACCTCCAACTAACCCCAAACCCAGCCGGTGCTACGGACGAGTCTAAGCTCCAGTTCCTGCCTCCCCTACCCGGTCGCTCACCTCATTCACTCGGATAGGAGCCGGGGCTCGGGGGCTGAGTGGGAAGGGAGCCGCACCAAGGGTCCGGCCGGCTCCGGTAGGGTGGTCTACGCTCACCCCTGCACGCGCGGTTCCCAGCTCGCACCTAGCAGCCGGGGCGACTCCGCCCCGGGGACCCTGGCTGGTCAGCGAGACGTTCGGGACTCCGGAGAGGACACCTTTGGGCGTGCTCTTGAGAAGGGACCCCGCGACGTCCTCGGCGACCCCAAGTGCCACTCACCTCAGCCGCCGCCTGCAGCTTGCAGCGCGCCCGCCCCGCGGCCTGGGCCCCGCCTCCGCGACCGTTAGCGCAGCCCAGGCTGACCAATCGAGCCGAAGCAGTCGATGGCCTCCCAGGGGGGCGGGAGACCCAACCAGGAGCGCCAGGGAGGCGGGGTCCGCGCCGCGCTCTATTATTGGCTCCGCCCATGGAGGCGTGGTTTCCCACCCACACAGTCTTGCTGCGGCGGGTCCTTAGCTCAGACACTCCCAGGACGCACCTTCGGGTCGAGACTCTGTTACCAAGGTGGAGTCTCGTTTTGATCCGCGAGAAGCTAGAAATACACAAAGCAGTCGCAAGCGAAAGTGAGGCCGGGGCTGCCTCACCGTCACTGGATGCTTGCGCTCACTACAGCTCCCTCTCAAGCCAGATCTGCGAGCTTTTACCGGGAACCGTCTGCACGCTTGACTCTCCAGACCTGGCTAAGAACAGTGTATATATAAGCTGGCATTTGGAGGACCCCAGTCAACGTTTCTTTATGCATTTCATCGTCTCCTTGAACATTTTTAAATGTCTATGAAGCACTGAGCTGCCCGACTGAAGATGCTCAGTCTAGTTAGGGAGGTGGACTCCTGTTAGACACTGATAAGCCTGTTTAGTAAAGGGTTTACGGCTACAAGAGAGGAAAGGAGGATTACGTAAGGCCAGGGAGGCACAACCCTTGCTTCAAGTTTGAACCGCTGAAAAGCTTTGAAAACTTGATCTGCGGGCCTCCAGGTTAATTAAATCAAAATCTCTGGAATGGGAGACCCACGTGTCCAGAGTTTGTAAGGTTCCCCCAAGTGATTCTAATGTGTAGCCGGGAGGGAGAAGTGCCCATTGAGATGTAATTAAGACTGATTCTAAACCTTGTAGGGAACAGTAACTGGGGATGTAACTCAGTAGGTGGAATGCCTAGAGTGCACCAATCTTTGGGTTTGATCCTCAACACTGCCTAAGACAGGCATGGTAGCACATGCTTGTAATCCAAGAATTTAGGAAGAAGAGGCAGGAGAACAAGAGTTCAAGGTCATCCCTGGCTACATAGCAAAAGTCAAGGCCACCGGGAGCTACACAAGGCCTTGTCTCAAAGAAAAAATAAAATTATGGTCCCTCTACACTATTTTCAAAAACTAATAGAGCTTAAGAAATCCAAAATATGTAAGGGAAAGTCCACCTTCCACAAACCTGAAGGAAGACCTCTCAAGTTTCAGGGCTCTATCATCGTTGTTCTTGCACCTTGTAGCCACATGGTGTCGCTATTGACAACAGGCTTTTCCAAAAGGTCTGTGGCAATGCAAGTCCCATCAGGGCCTCCGTGGTCCTAACACATGCACTAAGGTGACTCTCCAAGGGCACATCTCTTAGAAAATACTGCTCTCAAGCCAGGTGGAACCACTGTGAGTCTGAACTGTATCCGATCCCTGCAAACATGTCCCAACTCTCTTTATCCCTGCCTCCTCCCTTCCCCATCCCTTTCTATATCTGGGTAGTCACACTAATAGGGGCTGGCAGATTTTCATTTTCTACTCCCTAATACAATCTTATTGCTTTTCCTGAACAATAGGGTGACTTTACTATTCTTCTGAGTCCAGCTGCTCTAACTGCATCTGTAGGCAAAACATCCCTGGGTTATAATTATTTCTGATGCCAGGAATAGAAAACCCAATTTAAACTGTCTTAAACAATAAAGCAATTGATTAGTTCACAAAACAGAGATCCCGGGGGCGTGGACTTTTAAGACTGGTTAATTCAGTGGTTCAATAGGTTTCAAAGGGTCCAGTTAGTCTCTGCTGTTGGAAACATGATAAATTCATACTAAAATGAGTTTCCAGCTGCCTATGAGGAACAACCAGAACCACACACTTCCTTTTCCCTCAGAAACTTCTCCAGTTTAGTTTTTGTTTGTTCTGTTGAGACAGATCTGTAGATACACCATGCCTCCTGATCAGTCATTGCTTGGGAGATGTACAAGTGACAAAAGTCTGAGTTCCAGAAATGAAGGGGGGAGGGGCACCATAATTGTAAGTAGTTTCCAAAGTGGTGATGCTTCTTCCTTGAGTCCATAGCCAATATTGGGAGGGTAACAGTAAAAAAAAATAAATAAATTGATATACCTGGGCATCTGATATGGTTATTTTCCTTTTATTTTATTCTCCATTTTTTTTTAAATTACATTTGGAAAAATCAGCCAACCCGTTCCAAAAGGAGGCCCCAGACAAAATATACCCTATTGTGATGGAAGTATTTCCAGCTTCTCTCTTAAGGCAGTAGTGTCTGTGAGCGTGTGTTGGTGAGAGGCAGCTTCTAAAGATGAACAGCCCTTGGTTACCTCCTGAGAAACAAGGAAGCAATCTGAAACTCAGAACAAAGTCAAAAGCTCAATCAGCCGCAACAAGAATGTTTCATTTTTAAGTTTAAGACCTTTCATGGTGCTTTGTTCAGACATGATTTCCTGCCATGTAGTCCTGGCAGGTAAGAAGTGACTGTTCTTCCCACAGCTGTCCTGCCTCTGTGGAACATATATTAAATGCAGCACAGAAGATTCCTCAAATCCAGTATACCAGAAACTATGGGGAGAGGAAACAGCTAGCTGAGGAGTTCCGGGTCACCTTGTCCAATTCCAGTGCAGATGTCAGTGTAACTTGGATGATGAGCCCCAAGCATTAAGCCCAAATTTTTCTGCAAGCACAATATTTTTCTACAAATGTGTTCTCTTAACATAAACATTTCAAATCCCATGTGCCTAACACCAAATATAAAGCCTGTAACTTCTGAAGGGCTTTGGGGTCCCTGTGTAAAATAGAATGAATATAATCACTGGGCTGCTGTGAGAACTAGAGGCACATAGCAAGAACTTCACAGATTGTTTTAGTCGTCTTATAAAGGATAGCTAGATTCCTTGAATTTTATGAGAAAATATTATCCTTCACTAAGCTGTGAGCTGTGACCCCAATAGGGTTTCCTGGTCCTCCCAACTCAAGAGTTGTTTCTCAGAATTAAGGACTTGATTAAAAAGGAGTTCAGTAGGGGACAACTACGTATGGGGAGGGGGATCAGCCGCCCTTGTCCCAGCTCTGGAAACGTCCACTCTGTATACCACCACGCCTCTTCATTCTTCCAGGAATCATTTATTACAAACTCTAATCTATAAATAAAAACAAATAACAAAGAAGAGGCTGCAGTGGAGTCTTCCTCATTAAGACTCTCTCTGTGCAAGGTCAGGAGCAAAGCAGTGCTCTCCCAGCAGAATCTCTGTAGCACAATTTGCTGAGGAATTCAGTCATATCATCTTCAAGATCTATTAACCTAATCAATGGATTGTCTCCTCTGGTCAGCTGTCTTCTCTCCCAGACTTTACTTACTTAGCACCTCTAAACTTTATCAGCCATATCAATCCCAATGTTGGGACACTCTTTCCATACATTATCATCATGCTGCAGAAATAAACTGGAAGATGGGACCCATTCCGATTCCTATAACAAACTCTTTGGCTAGATAATCTCTAAACCACAGAAATTGTTGCTTTGTTCTGGCTGAGAAGTCCCAGACCAAAGTGCTAGAAGATTGAGAGTCAAGAGAAGGCTTGTTTTGCCTATTTCAAAGACGGTGCCTTCTTCCTGCATCCATATGAAACCAAATTCTTCACACCTCACTTGTTTTACCCACTTAATTGCAGACTAAACCCTCTAGACTTAACCTGCTTCATGTTTCTGGTTGCATGCTTTTAACTGGTTTTAAAAATCACCAATTTCACGGGGCAGTGGTGGCACAGGCCTTTAATCCCAGCACTCAGGAGGCAGAGCCAGACGGATCTCTGTGAGTTCGAGGCCAGCCTGGTCTATAGAGCGAGATCCAGGAAAGGCGCAAAGCTTCACAGAGAAACCCTGTGTCGAAAAAAAAAACAAAAATAAATAAATAAATAATCACCAATTTCAGAGCTGACATTTGGGTCTTTGTAATTGTTCAAGTTTGATCACGAACATTGTACTTGTTAAAGTTTGATCATGAAGGCCTAAACCACCAATTACTTCCTAGCCCTTAATCTCTTTTCTCCATGCTCCAGTCTATAAATATTCCTAAACCCTGTCTTCTCTGTGATGGTTGTAATCTTCACTGTCAGCTTGACTGGACTGAGAAATGCCTAGAGAATTAGTGAAGCAACTCTCAGTGTGATGATGTTTCCAGAATAGATCATGAAGACTCTGACCTAATAAGTGGAATAATCCCCCGATAATTCACAGTATATCATGGTTTATCAGTAGGGGATGGAAAATAAGAAATGGAGCCTACTTGGAGGATGTAGGCCACTGGGAGCATGTGTCTCTAGTCTGTCATCATGTGAGCTGCCTGCTCTGCTTCCTGGGGACTGAGGTGTAAAGTGCTCCATCCACCACACTGACCTTGCCATGGCACCCTGGCACCTCTGGAATCCGGAGCCAAAGTCATCAGCTCCCTCCTGTAAGTTGTTTGCTTCACTTTGGTCACTAACACACTCAAGGAAGCAGATGTGAAATTTGCCCTCTCATTTTCATACGCTTCTAGAATCGTCTCTGACAAAACTCATCTCAGTGATGGGCATATTTTGAGCCAGGTGGAACAGGACCTGGCTCCAAAACATATGCCCAGTGGAAGAGGCAAAAGGAACCTGTCACATCTTTTATAAAGACACTAATCCCATTCAGGAAAGCAGAGCCCTCATGACCTAATCACCTCCTAAAGGCCACACCTCTTAATACTTGTGTTGGAAGTCAGGTTTCAACATGCAAATTTTGAAACGACACCAGCGTTAACCAGCATTAAGGTGACCAGAGCCCTCAAATCTGCTAGGCCCTCAGAAACCCCCAGTCCCTTCAAATGTGTCTATTCTGTTGTTGGGCCTACTGTCTGGGGACCATTCATTACTTTTATAAGGTGGCTATGCTGGTAATTTTTTTTTAATTAACAGACATACAAAAATCAGCTCAAAATATGCC